ACTTGAAACCAACAACCGAGATATATAGATTTATATAAATGAACAAATATAATATATATATATATGATTATATATGCTTATATAGTTTAAATATGTTTAAATAATATATACTATATATAATATACGAGTACATATGTTAATGTACATCTCTTGTTCTATGCCCCCAATGCTTCTTGTTCTATTCTATTCTCGTTTATTGGAAAAACAACACGTCGACACACACACACACACACTTGCCTTACAAGGACCGTCTCAGCTTCCGCACATGACTTGAGAGTTGAGGTGCGCTGCATCCGTCTGGGCAGGTCCTCGGGATATCTATGGGAACTTCCATCAGCACACTCTCTGGGATGAACAAATCTGGGATTGAGAGAAAAAAAGATGAAAAGAGAACATTCGGTTTAGAACCCATAGGTTTTCATCCGTTTGGATCCTTTTGGGTTCAGGCTTGAATTTTCCCGGTCTGGTATTTGGGATGCTTATCCTGCCGATTTCACTGGTGAAAATCTTGAAGTTCCGGCCCCAGGTACATGAAACTGGGAGCCGCTACAATCGATTGGATTGACGATGATTGGCGGAAGGCTTCATCCAATTCTAGGAAACATCCTGATGACCTTCACAAATCGATCTGCGCTTAGCAGTAGCCAGGCTCACCCAGGCTCCTCCTGCATCTGTTCCGCAGCAAAGCATCTGCGCAATGCAGGCGTCACACCTGGTTTTACGGTCAAAAACATTCAGATCAAAATCTATGGATGGCTTGGTGGCAAAGTCAAATCGAACATCAAATATCTCTTGCAAGATTCAACCCGAATTTGTTTGGTACATTATGATGAGGCATCATCTCAGATACACCATTCCTTGTTGTAGCCTTTGATCTTGATTTGGTCGGAAATGGTCTCCCTTTATAGCAAGTTGTTCAAATGCTTTGGCTACTACAGTAGAGTTAGGTAGAGGAATTATTCTCAACAGGAACCCAGGCTAGACATGGTATTCAACGCTGGACTTTTAATTTGTAGGTTTGACCACCAAAGGGTCTTTTGACCAAGCATGTGTCTAAGATCATGTCACACCTCAACTTTGACCATAGCCAAAGGGTAGGGTAGTGATCTGTGATTCGGTCCTACTCCCTAGTAAGGAAAAATGTTGGCGTCATCCTCACCAGCTTAATCAAAATAAACATGCACAGCAAAGAAATCAACAGCGTGTTACATTGATATGCGCATATATCATATATCACATATGCATATATGTATGTATATATATATATATTGATGAATCATAATGATTCACTAACCTGAAACAAGGATCTCTGGAGATAGTTGCCACTACCAACGCCAACTACTGACCATCATCACATATATAATATGCCAATATAATAATATACTGTATATAGTTTACATATGTTTACATCTACTTACTACGCTTAAATCTAATTATATAATTATGCTTGAATCCATGGGTCCCTTTCTTCCCAAGCACCTTCAGCTGGCAACCTCCCACACCAGAAGTAAGGCCCACAATTATAGTATTGTAATCATATGTTGCTGTTGCAGGTAGTTGTGTGGTAGTAATCGTAAGTGGGAATATTAATACTTTCATCTGGCTTAAAGAAAGTGGCCAAATGGGCGGTTTTCCCATGCGCAACTGGCCACCTACAGTCACTGGTCCAGTCTGGTCCGCCACCACGGACTCGAAAATCATCGTCTCTGGTGCTGCCTGGGGCGCCAAAAAAGTGGGCACGTTGAGGACCTCTCTTGTACAACTGGCTTTGTGTGAAAATAGAAGACTGATTACGAACAAAAATCCAATGGGCTCGTGTACCCATACAAAATAGGTTTACCAATTAAAAAAAACACATAAATTGGGTATCCTCCAATTCTTGATCAACCCCGACTGATTGATCTATAACTTTGATTCAAGCACGCGTTGAAATTGTCAACAGGAAGATTTGCATCATGTACGCTTACCTGCCGATCTTCGATCCCATCGATTCAAATTCTGATATGGATTGTTTTTTGTTAAAAAACTCAACCTAGTGCAATTCCATTCAAACGATTCCGTTTCCATAGAAAAAACATTTAAAAGAATTCATGTTTATGCTCGTCCATTGCAGTTTTACCACTCACCGTACCCTTGTCATCTCTTGACAGCAATGCCAGGGTATACCTGTGGCGTTTCCGACGCAAAACATTCCAAGACATTCCACAAAATTAGCGAATCTTCAAAACCATTCCAAAACATGCAAAAAATCAAACACAATCAAACAAATCTAAACACATACAATAGTACATGTGGGAAAGCCAACAAACCTCTATTTCAGTTTCTTGAGCTTTAAACGCCATTCCAAACCATTCTTTCAAAGCTGTCTAGATAAAAATTAATGATTTCAAATGCCTGCATCAAGGCTCATTAGTACCCCTTCCCATGAGGACCCCTCTCTCTCCAAAGAAGATATAATCGATAAATTCCTAACTCTATCTATGCCATTGCACCGGGATGTGCCTTTCTATGTGTACCTTTTGATCCTTCATGAGTTGCTCAAGCTAGGTCCCTGTTTTTGAGAAAAAACCCTTTATTTCCAAGGCTTGAAGCAATGAAAACAAAGAATTGCGGCTCATAATTTGGATGATATAGTTCTTTCTGTGCTTTCAAACATGTCTGGAAACACATATATTTTGACAAAAGGATCTTACTTGACATGGTGAAACATCATGCAGAAACCGCCCTGTCCAAGCTCCACGCACGTTGCTCTTTGCCAGCAATATGTGCCTTAAGTTTCGGTTGACATATGGGCCACATCCAAACCATGCGGAAAAGGGGGCCACAGCTTGGTCCAACGCTATCTGTTTGGGGATGCACTGGGACTTCAGGATGAGAGGACATGTTCAGCGGCCTGCGTGTATCCCTTATTTGCATGTGCATGCCGAATTGATATGTTGTCTGTACATGTGTGGGCATATAGCAGATATGTTTTGGCAGCTGGCGTGGTAACCTGAAGGCAGGCTTTGGTGATTTGATACGATTATGACTCATACAGTAGTTGAACGGTTTCAAACGCCGATTCATAACTCCTGGTTGATAAATTAGGAGGACACCCATTAAATATGGTACTATATTGCCACGGAAGGTAATTGACAGGATAAACATCTGGGTAAGTTATAATATTTCACTAACAAATAAGGCTAGCAATGGGAATGATTCCAATTACTAACCATGATTCCAGTTGGGTCACAGTGAAGTCACTACAATTTACCCGGAAACATGATGAATAGTTTGAATCATGTAAATGATATATTATTCTGATAGCGATGAGAATGGATTATGATCAAAAATCATGGGCCACATTTCCAAATGATGAAATACTTGACAAAACCAAAAAAACACCCCCCATTGTCGCTTTGTTCCTCACGTTGAAGTTTTCCTAGATTAGTTTACTCAATAATTTGTTCATCATGTTTCTTCTTGTTTTTCTCCAGATTCATTCACCAAAGCGCATGAATTTACTCGCTGGCAATTTAACATATCTATGGGAAAATCACAATTTTTCATATAGGTAAATCAACGAACTAAATGCCGATGTTCAATCGCAACTTGTAGCAAATTACCAGAGGCTATTTCTTATTCGCATCCCCATTTTTTGTTCGTTCAAACCCTATGAATCATCATGTCTCTTCAAATTAATTCATCCCCAGAAACCCACTATTAATCAGCATTAAATCACCTAAAATCCCCTTAATCCCCTATTAGTCACCATTAAACCACCATTTTGGGCTTTGGCCATGCCCTCGTGATGACCTTGCTTCTGGCCACGGTGCGTGCACTTCACCCTTCTCATCCAGCTCATCCGGGGACAGTGGCCCATGGAGCCGGCGCAAGACCTGTGCAGATTTTGGCCCAACTATGTCTGTGTCTGATGACTTTGCTGGTTGAAATGGACGTATTTTTTGAAGCCGTTTTGTGCGGTTTCCATCGCAAATTTCCGAAATAATTTGGCGGTGCTGAGGGTCATAAGTACCCTGCAAACAAGTCACGGTCTAGGAGGGTAGTATCCTCCTGTCAAACCCCTCTGTTTGATCGTTTTTGCAGCTTAAAACTTAAAAACATATTAGTTGGTTGAACCCCAACATTGCAATCGGATTTCAAGTGGGACAGTGAAAACTTCACTACTACGAGTAATATCACTTTATATATAGATAATTTGGCATACTTTTGCATTAAAGACCAAAGATTTTCGCACATTGTATACGATATATTTGGTTGGTTAATCCCTCCAAAATCTGTGGGGAATGATCTCTATATACATGTATAAATAGATGCGTATATATATATGTTATTTATTATTATTATTATTTGTATGTATGTAGGTAGGTATGGTAGGTATGTACGTATGTACGTAAGGATGGATGGATGGATGGATGGATGGATGGATGGATGCATTTATATACATACATCTACAGACACACACACATATATATATATTTATATTATATTACATTACATTATATTATATTATAAAATTTATTGTATTATATTATATTATATTATATTTTTATTATATTATATTATATTATATTATATTTCATTATATTTTATTATATATATAGATATTACATTATATTACCGTATATGTACCCTTCACTTCCGAAATCTTCACTTCACGGAGCCCAAAAAGGACCCCAAATCGCCATCCCGACCGCGTGGATCTCCGAGATGGGCGCCCCGAAGTCGTAGGGCAGCCTCCAGGGCAAACAAGCAACTGGGGAAGGTTAAGAAGTTGTAAAGCCGTAAAGATCTATGAATTAGGTGTATATATATAATATATATATATATAATGGAGTTGCAATAGTTAATAGTTATAATTTTATATTATAAATTATATCTATTGTTGTTATTGCACGTCTTCTTCGGTCATTGTCAAATCTAGGGGTCGATTGTATCTACCAAACTTCATTGAAACCACCTTGCATAATATACCGCGATATCCACTGATTACGGGCATTGCTCACGTCTGTATATCTATAATATATATATATACTTTATGTGTATGTATACATATATGCCCGTAATCAAAAAGAGACTAGAAACTGTTACCAGGGGTACTATTTCCAATGGAAGAATCAGATCCAGGAAGACCTAGGACATGCCTTGGCAATATGGTCCCCTCAATGACTCAGAATATTGCATTTCGAGAGGTATGCCTATCAGATTATCCCTCACAAATTCACCACTTAAGTGTATCCCGCATAACAATGTAAACGTATATGTGTATATAATAAACACGTAAATACCTATGTGTATGTAAATACAATAAACATAAAATATTATATATATATGTAAAGAAATGTTTAGATACACATTCATCTATTTTAATTAGTATGTGCGTACCAGCAACGAGCAACTTCCACTCAAGCCTGCCTCTGGAAGGTAAACCCCCCACGCAAACAAACATGTGCAACCAATATAAAACATGACATAATCCATCCAAAAGAATCAAACGCTACGAAACCCAAGCCACGCCACCTATCTTTAATTAACAAACATGACTGGGCAGCGCTGATCACTTCCACCTGCACCCAGGTTCCCGCGCCAGAGCTTTGCGCTGCACGAAAAAATGCCCAGCTCATTCAACTGGGCCCGTCAAGATAGGCTTGGCGAATCACTGCTTGAACTAGGCTCTATGATGCTTTATGGATGTTTATGGATGTTTATGGATGTTTATGGTGCAAATGTCTGCAGTTGGGTTTACAAAATAGCTTAGAACATCTTGGAACTATTGAAAAACCTCATGCACCGGACTGATATTTTTTCTGCGAAGGCCCTCCGTGTGGGAAACCACGGCTGGTCCAATCACTCGCATATAGGGGGGTTCCTGTGCAATCTTTTCTCAAATCCAATGATAAATGGGATGGCAATTTTCCTGATGATTTTCCTTCCTAAAAAAAAAAACGTTCTCCCATTCCACTTGTGGTCATTTTTCCCGGAAACCACTTCTGGGATGGTCGGCTGGTCGGTTCAACTATGGGTCTTGATCATGCGCATGCTGATTCTCATCACAACTCATAAGTCCCACCCAAAAATGGGGTCCCTCTGCTTGTTGGGTTCAACGTTTTGTGCTGGCAGGGTTTGATGCATCGCCCTCTCCACTGGATGATCTAAAAGCATCCGTACACTGATTTTCTTCCTTAGGAAACCGGACGAACAGCACGCAGAACAGAATCGATTTCATTTATGGTAATTTCGGCGCACACATTTTCCAATTTGACCCATCCTTGTTGATCTTGTTGTTTTTCTTTTAATAACATTGACATGGACATTCATGTTGCACATGTCCTCCTTGTTGGTTCTATCTTCCGTGGTAGGTAGCGTTATGTCATATATGTTCTAAGTTACTAGTATAATCCACTTTCTCTGTCTGCTTCACTCCTCATTTCAATTGGTGTTTTTTCCATGTATGCGGACACCAACCTTGAATTTCGACCCTTATAAAATCTTATAAATTCACATTAACGTAATTTCACGTATATTTTTCCAGCAAGTTGCTAAGGTTTTTGCCAATTTTTGCCTTTGGTCTCCAAGATTTTCCCTGTTTTTGTCCACGATTTCTGGTTGCTTCGCACCAAATCGGCACCTCCATAGGCTCCACATCCTTGGGCTCTTCGCTGTCGGTGCACACTGGGCCCAGGACCTCGAATTTTTTTGCACCGGGGATCCTAAATCCTATATGGAGTTGGTGGTGGTCCCCAAAAGTACTGGACATATGCTATATTATACATATATATATGTATATATATTATTATTATTAGTATGATTATTTATTATGATTATTGTTATTATTTACTATTCTTATCGTTATTACTAATATTATGATATTGATATTGCTTTTATTATTCTTATTGTTATTATCATTACTATCGATTAATCTTACGCACACGCACATATATATATATATTATTCAATTATATTCAACATGACTTACTGTAATGATTGGGGATCCCGAGTAAGCTTCCTTTTCTGGGGGTCCTAAATCCTATTGGTTGCTTGGTAGAGGTTCACATGTTATTGTCAGCTATCCGTTGGCAAATACTGGAATTTCAATCAATTTCACATAACTTCACGATACAAAACATGTCCCAAAAAACATCTTATCCTTACGTCTGTATATAAAATGTGGGATCCAATTTCAGATCGTGAAGAATTTGGAATGCCCTCAATCAAAATCCACCCGTGGGAAAGGGACATCTAAGATCTACCAGCTGGGGCTGGAAGGATCTTGAGCGACAAACACTTGTCAAACAAAGTAGGCAGCAAACTGTGGAATGCCAGTTGACATCGGAACAGCATTCTTGATCAGGAAGAGATGCTGACTGTTGGAAATTCGGGATCAACCAAACATGATGGCCTCTTTGATCGCGTGTAGCGTGAAGCACCAAGCATGGATAAGTTTAAATAAGTTTACGACCGACACACTGACAAAAAAAAGGCTTGTATTGTGGACATTAAATTGATATGCCCTCAACTATGACCAGAAAACAAACGACAAACTTCAATCTACCAAGATTGCAGGTGCCCAACCCACCTGAAGAACACAATTCTGAGCCTCTGTCCTGTGAAAACTCACCCTTGCCGCTGGTGCCCACCGCACGTGCCATGAAATAGTAGTCTTGACCTCAGCCCAGGGCAAAATCCCTGATGTCTCTAGAGGATGTGGGTCAAGATTTACATGGCATTCGCAATGTCATTGGGTCGATGATTTTCCTATTGGTATATGGGCCATAAATACCATACATATGGGTTCATGTGAAACATATGCAGCCAACTTCCATTCACCCAGTGGCCTGGAAGCAAATTGGACAGGGCGAAGCTCTGCTTGGGCGCCACCACTGGAGCATACATGCACTCCTCATCTTTGGCACCCACTTTGGGAACAATATATATATATGATACGTATATGTAGATATGCTATATGCATATACATTTATAAAAACAAACACATATATGTATACATATTATATAATATCTATTATATACATATACTGTATATATATATGTGTGTGCGCGTGTTTTTTCATAGTTCACTATTCTTGCAAAGGAATTTTGAAACGCTTTCGATGCATTTACGCAGGAGAATGCACAAGTACAAGGCAAACATGGGCAAATCATTGAATCAAACATAATGTTGAAATCAGTGGTCGAGGAAAGTGTTCATGTCCAAGAAAATGGCTGGGGTTCCTCAGCCAATGGTTCCGTGTTTTTTCCCCAGCAAACCTACATGACAAATACATCAAACAGCACCAGTCGCGTGTCCTCGCAATACAACTCCCCAAAGGAACTGCTGCAATTGGCCGCATCAGGCCTCAGGAATCCAGGCCAGGTGGCACAGTTGTGGAGATCTTCAGTTTAAGATATCTTATAGAGATCCGTTATATATATAAAATATTATATACAATATATATATATATATAAATATATTTTATATATATAATATATAATATATATATATTTATATATTATATATAGGAGTTTATTGCTAAGGGGATGGGGCCACCCAAAAATCACAATGTGCTGATAGCTGGAATGTAGCAGCTGGTATGTCATCAATTGCTATTCAAGTGCTTTATGATATATCAATCCAAGAAGTTCAAGAGCAACTGGAAATAGAAACACTTTCCTTGAAAACCAACATTGAACTCACTGGCAATCGAACATGACCGGCTGGAAAATCACAAATCTCCTGATTTTCGTATTGCACCTGTCAGTGCCACATTCCAGTAGTAGTACCAAAAGGTAGGTTCTGCACACGTACCCACAAAGTTGTGGCTTTTGGAATGTAAATCACCACAGAATACCAGGAAACAACTCCCGATAAAAGAGATCGCTTTTATTCGTTTTTGTGTTTTTGTTGGGAGGAAACCAAGGCAACCACTCAGCATCCTCCTTGATGGCATAGCCTTGGCAGATGAAAGAGAGTTGTACACCATTACACCACTCAGATGAGCCAAAGGTTATTAGAAAACGCCGAGAAACACCAAAAGTCTGCGAAAAAAACATGTAAAACAAGAAGAGAAAAACAATGAATTGTTTGAAGTGGGCCTTTGGATCGCCCTCAGGAAGCCTGCTTGGAATACATCCCTAGGTGGAGTAGAGAAAATCCTCCCATCTGGGCAGTCTGGGCCCAGGAATCCATGTCACGTCTGGCAAGGCTTTTTATCACCGCACTGCTCAACCGCTTTTGGATTGGGAAATGCCTGCTGCATCATGGGGCCTGCAGCTGCAAGGGATGGGATTGAAGGATTGAAGGGATTGAAGGCTCACGGCTGGGACGCCACGCGCAGGCTATACTAACAATTGCAACTCCGGGCCAAAATAGCGCCGATGATGTCAATCACTTTGTTTACAGGGATTTTAACAGCGTTGAAGCACATGCACATTCATCGAGAGTCGAGTACTGACAGCCATACCTTGTAGGTGCCCCCCAAAATGGAGGATACAGCCCTTCATCTCCCCTACAGAAAGCAAACCATGAAGCAGGGACATTGAGATTTTCCTTGCGTCACTGGTCACTGGTGTCCTCAAAACCCCGATCGTTTCCCCACCATGGCTGATTTATGTAGATATGTTGCTGCTTAAATACTTGTTCCTGGCTGGTTACAATTGCAACAGCTACAAGTTACAGTAATTAATGAGCTACACCCAGCAATAAACGACCCCCAGTGGGGGTTTAGTGTTGGGCATAACCCCATGTAAGATGATATTGAAATGCTTCCAATCGTTTGGCTTACTGGGATGCTCTGAGCTACTGGCTTTACCTCATTAGAGTGCCTTACATCTTCGTGGTTTCACGAGTGACATCACTCCCGCCACGGGGGGAAGAACCTTCTCATGGAAGGAGAGCAGTCGCTTGAAACTTTGCAAGGCTTTTTGCGTGACCGCATCGTCCAACAAGGACCCCTATCGCTGCCACCAATGGCCCCAGCAAACTTTTGGGAAAATGCAGGGGGATGACCGAAGCTTGCTACACAACTGGACCAGCCACTTCAATTTAAAGAAGTTTTTGTGAGGTATTCCCATGCCCTTTCTATGTTGCCCAACTTTCTCCCATGATCAATGCAGCCTACCATCGTCCTTTCACACTGCTGTGCCGCATCACAATGATGTGAGTTCAACTGCCTCGTCAAGTACCAACACAATCAACTATACATATAGTAAGTTATATTATCAATGTAGTATTAATAAACTAATATTCTAAGTTAATCATAGTTAATCAACTATAGATAATCAATTACTGTATTTAAAACAATGAACCTGGGGAAATGGTCTAGCCACCAGCATTCACTCAAACTGCGTGCATTTACGCGCATATGTACAAAACGGATCCAACCATCTGATCTTACCCAACAAAAATACTGCTGGTTCTAGACAGTCCTGAATCAACATAACAATCATCTGATCATGGACCTGAGTAAATGATAGTAATTCCCCAACCTGAAACAAGGTGACTTGGGGATGATTCCCCCAAAAACTCACCATCATTCCAGTGAGATCGCGGTGAGGTTGTTCGAATTTACCCAGAATCATCCAGCCGTTGCATGTTCCCGTTGGATGCGACCCGCTGGGGGCCACCTTATCCGCGATCTTTCGCCACTTCTGCCCCCACATTCGCTCGTTGCCCTTCGGCTCGTCACTGGAGATATACAAAAGCCCTCCGGACAGCTGACTGCGAAAGATGTTGGCACCGGATCTGATCGGATCTGTTGTTAGAGGTTCTTTGAAGCCTCAAATGGTTTGAAATGATACCCTAAGTCTAGATGCCCCGCAATGGAAAACTCCAGCAATTCCTAGCTGATATCACATGTTCACCCAGTTGTAGCCACTAAAGTGGCCCATTGAATCCCATTGACCGAATCAAGCAAGATATAAATAGCTGGATCTGAAGGCCTCCGGTGACCCAAGTTTTACTTCCATGAATCAAATCCAAATAGTTCTTCTGCGCCAACCTGGGCCAGTGGAGGCCTCCGTGTTGCCTTTTTGGGAAGCTGACACGATAATGAGATTCGTTCTCTATCAAGAATGAACATGTTAGATTTTAAAGTATATATCATATATCATTATATATCCACGGCTTTCATGTTTTTGCTGGCGCAAACACGTATCGTATGCAGTGTATGCAGGTCCAAGGAACAAATGCTTCCTTTCCAAGCTGTGCAAGCAGCACTGCTTCATGTGCTCCTGACCCAAGCCATCCATCCCGCAAGACATCTCCAGGAGTTTAGGGTTTAGGGCTAAAGACGAGCCATTGGCCCAATGCCCAAATGTTTCAGCCGGCCAATATGAACATTTGCACCATGTTATTAGGATTTTGTAAGATTCATATGTTCACAGTAAATGTAACATATATCGTGTGCGATGTTCCGAATTTTCCGACAAATGTAACTGCTGCCACCTCTTCCTTCTCATCCAAAGCCTTGGCAAACATCAGGTCCTGAGTCCAATTGGTAAGTCATTGGGGATGGATCCTGTTGCTTTACTAACCTTATGTAGCATCATCTGATGTAGAAGTCTTAAGCTTACCATGTTGATTGGAAATCGATCAGAATGTTTATTGTCAACTCATCACACTATGTTCATCACTCGAGTGGGACAATCGCCTTTTTTGGAATACGGATGAACACCCACTAGACTTCTGAGATAAGAAGTACTTTACGGCAATCATAACAATGATAACAACAAAAAAACACTACTATAATACTTGTTTAAAACGCGCGAAGGAAACAACTGTGCAACAAACCCAAAGCCAGATAAACATATAGCCTGGAGCTGTCACCGCTTCCTGCTGGGAGCTGATAAATCCACCACTAGCCAAATAGGTTGATTTGTGTAGATTTGAGTGGGACATAGTAAGACGATGTAAGACGTTATCTTATCATCTTTTACTATTGTTCCATAATCTCCACGATAATTACTCCATAAAAATGGCTAAACATCAACCCATTCACCTTCCATTCATCATCACTTGTCCCATTTCACCACATCAAGCGTCCACCAAAGGTTGAAGTGAGGCCAGCTCTGGTGGTTCCTCCGCTGCACCTTCCAGAGGTCCAGTGGCGTTTTGAAGCCCCAGCTTTAAGGACATCATATGAATCCAAAGGAAGCTATCCCAGTTGAAACAAGGCTGTTTAGAATATGTTCTAGCAGTCAAGGGCATTTCCTCTGGCCCCACGTGGCTTTGTCAGATTTTCACCCACAAAAAAATCACCCAGATTTCCCCCCCAAAAAAAGTTCCCCTGGTGTGATGTTGCTATATGTTCCTATCCATTGACCACCAGCACTCGCCATGGCTGCGCCTGTCTGCGTCCATTCCTTGTGGCTGGCCAAGATAAAACGTCGCGTCAACTCGGCGGTGCTACTCAACTCCTGTGGGATGTGGGCCCCAAGGTGGGACCCCTGGCTGGAACTTCGCACATTGTTATTAGGTCATTTTTTGGGTAATTAGACTTGGTCATATTTTGGTTGTTTTTGGTCTTTGGAGGTGTTGGTCATTTTTTTTCTGTTAGTAAATTTCTAGATTTTGCTCATTTCTAGGTCTTGGACATCTTTTGACCGTTTTTTGGTCATTGTCTGATCGTTTCCAATCCCCCCCAGGAAAGCTTTGGCAAATGACCACAAAGTGACCAACAAAAAGACCGGCAAATGACCAAAAAATGCATGCGGAAAAAAAAACAACCAAATAGATAACTATATATTATATATCTTGAACTCACCCAGTCTGAGGCTATAAAAATCTTACAAGGATATGTCTGCAGTTGGATGGTGGGAGGCCCCTTTGGCACTTTGGGTTGTCCCCAACACTGCCTATAGTCCCGAATATCCACCTTCACTATCTACTGCCAGTGGGATAACCAATTCTAGACTCTAGACCCCACATAAGCATTGATGGGGTTTACATGTTGTAAACCCATAATCACTTCCCCAATATTGAACCACCTACCTAAAACATACTAAAACCAGTGGTTTAGTATTGGATCCATTCATGAACTGGGATCTATTGACCAGACACATTTAACTCAACATACTTCTCCCAACCTTGGCCACTGCCAGCAGTTCTGCTGATGACTCCGTGGCGGCCGTCAGCAAGGAGGGTGAGGGTGCCTGTCAAGCACAAATGGGTGGTCTCTACGCACAAGACAGCCCCCTCCCCCCACCTATCATTTGGGGTGTTTGAAATTATTGAAGGCCTTCCAACTGCGAAGATTTGCCAGACATATATCAGATATATCATAAACAGCTACCACACATGGGGCTCAGACACATTCCGAAACATTCGTAATGCTCTCGAACGACTCGCACTACTTCGCACCTCAGCCGACTTTGCTTTGGGCCTCAGATGCATTTCAAGCAATGTGTATGCGATTGAAGAAAACGTATATACTATACATAAAATACACAGTAATATGTAGGTCTGCAGGATGTAATTTATAGTAGTCAAAGTATATCAAAGTATATGTGATTTCTCTACCAATGGAACCCTGTGGAACCCAGGCTGCAAAAAGGGCAGCACGTTGTTTTTTCCATCTCATGGAGCTGTGCAATGGAACACCCCCTTGACTCCCAGGATGCAAAAAGGGCCAGCACTTGCATGGAGTTAAATTTCATGTAAGGATCTAGCATCCTGGAAAAGGCTGTGCCTCTGTGCTATCTTTATCCTAGGGACCCTGAAAAGATCCGGGCCATGGCTTTCTTGTATTATGACCGAGCGAATCTTTGTCTCCTCGTTTTCTTCCCAAACCAGTGGTAAAGTTTAAAACGGCTGGTTGGTAACTTACGTCCACTTCAAAAGTTGTCAGTTTGGAGGAGATTGTAAAAGACCTTCGGACACCACCAATCCGAAAACCAATATGTGATGCTTGGCGTTCCTTCTTTCTTTCTCTGTTTTTTCCGACTGTTCAGGAAGTCTGGGCATTTGTTTGCGAACCATCAACAGGGTGAGAGCATGCTGAAACGATTGAACCCTACCCTTGTTTCAGAAATCAGAATCAAGCGTTGACAGAGTCACATTGAAAATTGGACATGGTCGTGGACGATGACGGATGGGGCGATGGGGGAGAAAACATGAACAAATCCCTGGTGACGAGTCACTTCGATTTCGCCTTCTCAGAATCAGACTCACTTGAGGGGCTGGGTGCCCGCTTGCTACGCTTGGTGGAAAAGGAGTCAAAGGAAAAGAACGCCATGGCAAACGCCGGCAACCAAGCAACCAAGCAGCTCCCACGTTGAAATGCTGGCTGCTACTTGATCCTTCAAAGCTGGTCTGAATCTATTTTACTCTAACGTAGAGATGTAGCTACACGTGACGTGAGCATGTGTGGTGTGTGTCTTGTGTGTCATGTGTGTCATGTGTGCGCACATAGTCTCGTAGAAATTCTTGTTGCTCTTGTATTGCGCTTGGAGGTGGAATTTGGTTCCAACCGTCAGAACTGAGCTGAAATTTGTGTCGGAGATTCCGCTGCAGCCTGCAAAAAGCAGCAACCAAACGATTTTTTGTGGGTTACAGTTACAGTACATCCGCATGCTTATTGCTGAAACCGTTTTGATAATTAAATGTATTTGAACTTGATCAATGAACAAGTAACTTGACAAAAACATCAATATAATTCAATATATATATATATAATATATATAGATATAGATACACAGTACATTGTCTGACTACAGTTTTTTTAAATATGATATCCCCAAGATATCCCCGTCCTTTGGACTGCAACAGAAAATGTTGGCATCGCTTCATGACAGCTGCCATGGGGCCAAAAAGTTTGTCCACATCCTCCGTGTGATCCAGAAGCGCTGAGGCAAACTGCCAGCGCAGTTTGGTGGCTCGGCGGCTGTGCCACACTTGGGTATAATGCATTTATGAAGGTATATGCTGTGTGAAAAGATGCTGGGCACAAATTTTACATGTATGTCATACACGCGTATATATATATATATAATGTTTAAGCATGTGCAGGTATATAATTGAAAAAATATAATATCTGTATGTTCTTTTTGATGTATATATATATATACTTAGAATACCTGTGTGTGTAACACATATATATAAAATGTATATATTTATTTATTTGCTACAATTTTTGTCTTCATAAGAATACCAGCCCTGGAGATATGTGTAGATCACTGTAGATGCACTCCAACTGGTTTTAACCAACCCCCACAATACACCCTAAATTTGTCTAAATGTTCCATGGAGCCGCCAAATCTAAATGGCATCAAGTGCAGAAAGAGACTCTATGAGACTCTCCTATTGAAAATGGACATTGGTGTTTCAATCGGCTTCCAACCAATCATTTTGAATACTGAAAAAGCACTACATTTGTAGTACAGATATATTCCCCATGCTGTTGGCTGCCGTGCTGGCATGCTGATGAGATATGCTGAGATGTGATGGTGTCCGCCTGTGCTGCTAAACACCCATCTGTAGTACAGAAGTTGTATATTGAAGATATATCCATTGGCTCCCCCTGATGCTGCTTTCTGCCAATCTTTGTTGGATAAACTTCCGGATTTTGCCCTCTTTTGACTTTCCACGCTAGTCCAACTTGGACTCATGTAGAGTTACCCATATGAAGTATATCCTTGTGCAAAAACTGCAACAATATATGTTACTTGGCATTTGCATGGTATTCACATGTTTTCCTATATCTTTTTGCAGTTCGGCTTTGCAAATGGACATGTCTTGGTTCTTGTTGGTTCTTCAAGGCTTCAGGGGTGACTTTCCCCATCGACGCTGCAAAGCAGCCTGGCACCAGCGCACTAGGCTCCGGTTGGGCCCACCAATCAAATCCTGCTTCCGGACGAAGGGTCTGTATCAAACATCACCGAAATCTGGAGGTGAATGGTGACTGGGTCATACTCCTGGATAACTAATGGTAATTATGATTTGTTGATATTTGTTGCGTGATGTTGAATGGTGGTGCCCCTAATCATCTGTCTTGTTTCAATCAGAATCTCTGCCAGTGAAAACGACAACAGAAACAAGATGGGTCGTCCGAAGCCATCCCAAAAAATATGCGGATATTTGGGGGTTCTTAAAGATGTACGTCCACATCTGCAGATTACAGCATCGTTTCTCAAGAAGTCACGAACCAACCCCGAGTCTGCTTTTCTAGTGCATGATTTTATTAACCATCGACCAAAAAGTAAATTTGCATAAATATACTAGAAACATCTAGAAACGCAGACTCAGGGAAGCATGTTGTCCAGTTTTTCAATGGATCGTTTTATTTCCAGGAACCTTTAATTATAGTTTATAGCACCCTTCCAGAAAGCCTATAAGCCAAAACATAGAACATAGATGAACATAGAATCTAATAGATGAACATAGTAAAACCATGTAAAACCCTCCTAAGATCGTGATGTCATCACTTTTCCATCACGCTTCCATCTTTTTGATGCCTTTTTGGTGCCTTTTTTCCTCATGAAACATCCGCAACAGGCCGGGCCCACGAAGCGCAGGAACTCCACCCCGTTGCTCTCCGGGGGAGTCCATGACAGCGTCAACTCCCGAGCGGTGCATGACCTCAGGTGCCAGATCCGCCAGGGCAAATAGTTTTGATCAGCTCCAAATGGTAAAACTGGGGGAAACTAATGTATATATATGTAAATCAGGTATATGGTTGATGATTCCCTCTATGGGATTTAATGCATGGTTCGTGGGCTTCTACTTCGTGTATGCTGTTTTTTTTATAAGTAGTGGTGCACATTCTTTAGTAAACAGTAAACCCAATACTGTATGTTTTTTAAATCTGCAGGCTTGCTCAAAGACCGATATGGTTTATTTGTGGCTTCCGTTTTCACATCTTATGTAAGTGGAATTCTGATTAATTAAGCCAGTCACAGCCGTGGAAACTATCTCCACTAATTGGGACAACATAGTGCTGGCGGCTGAGCCCCCCAGAAATGCTTGTCAACGCAGAATCTACTTTCAAAACCTTTCAAGTGCTTAAAGTGAGCCACCAGAAGTTGGACATAGTTGGATAGAGTTAAAGTTCAGAGCTTCAAGAATCAAAAAGATTGGTTGAACATGGTTGAACTGTTGACCCCCCATGTTTTCCTACCAAAAAAAACTTCAGCTTCAACGCCTTTGTGCCGCCATCCCAAGCTGGGCTGTTCTCACGCAGTGAGCTCCTCGAGTTTGCTGGGCTTGGAGTTCTTGGTCATGAAGCGGGACACCTAAGCCGTTTAGCCCGGCTGACCACTATTTGACACTTCCAAGTCAATAAAAATATGTGACATATGTACACATGTAATTACATACGCATATATCTTCTCATTTATTATTTCCATACCGGTATACACCTACACAATCATACATATAATAAAAACATATAATATACACAAATATATATATAATTACATATATATATATATACATAAAATAATTAGTGATTGCAATCGGGCAAAAACCATATTATTACAACAACACATGTGCACACTACTTCTATAGATCAAATGTGCAGTAAATACCCCAAGATACCCCAATTATAGACAAACATCACAGGTTAATAACACAGCTGAATTGTGGTGAATTTGCTAGTCCAATCCTCTCATCACATTTCATCAACGTTGAAGACCTGGATGCCAAAGCAAAAACATACTTTATCTTTGCATAGTGAAAATATTGAAAAGGGGTATCAAACATCCCCAAGCTAAGAGTAGCTCCTGATATCGATATCCATGGCCAAAGAAGGCCACCTGTATCCAAGTGCATTAACAATGTTCCGGAATAATTAGTGTGCACATAATGCCATATCACACATCATACATCATATCTCTTCCAATCTTCTAGACGCTTCAAGTCTGCTTCACATTTTGAGTGCAGCCAGGGTACCTCCGACCAACCGCTCCATCCAATACCTCGCCGCGACGTCCCGAGATAAACCCGACCCAAACCCGACCCAGCCGTGATCGGTGAAGTCAAGGGGCAATTGGCAGCGCGGATGGTGAAGTAGTACATCGATCCATCTGCCACGCACTTGACATATGGGGAATATGGACAGCCAAAAATAAACAGGTTTTTTCATGGTGTGAATGTGGTCTTGAATTGCAAAGACTATGCCGAGGGTATATTAGGCTATAGGCTATACTTTTAAAGAATCTATGGACATGCAGGTTTGTCCGCCAAAACAATTGGATCATTACTGTACAGAGCCCAGTGGTAACTTGCATGCCACTCCATGCCTTTTGCCAGAGCCGGAGGGGTGTGGTGACAACTAACTCTGTTATTTGTCCGTGCTATTTCACTAGGTTCCAAATATTAGACATGGATGGACATGAAACCATGAAAACATACATCTTTTGTAACTCTGAACGTCCAAAAACATCCCGTCGGGGGGAAAACCGTGCCAGCGTTTTGAGCGTTTTTGAAAAAAAATGTCGTGTTCGCCATAGCGAAACTGCTGATTCATTCCCCCAAATAGGCTTAAAAAATCCCCGGGAATTTGAAATGTTTTCCTGATGATGAACCGTAATTTACAGTGAATTTGTTCCTGAAAAGGTGCGCGATGTTTTTTTTCCGCGTTACATCGCCATACGGTTCTTCAAGGCGCGACCAGTGAGCTCCAAAAGACTTGTGGTCTTGGAGTTCATCCAACGCCATTGCCACACCCTGATGCTTCCCATCAATTTTGGGTTAACATGGCCGTTGGATCTGGTCGAGAGACTGCATGGTATGGCGGACTTTGATAGTCGCCACAAAGGCAGTGACGCAAGTTAACATGAACGTTAACATCCCCACCCCCCAACCCAGTTACGTAACGTACGATGTGCATGCGACGCAAGTTAACATGAACGTTAAATAACATCCCCACCCCCCCAAACCAGTTACGTAACGTACGATGTGCATGTGGTGCAAGTTAACATGAACGTTAACATCTGCACCCCCCCAACCCAGTGACGTAACGTACGATGTGCATGTGGTGCAAGTTAACATGAACGTTAACATCCGCACCCCCCAACCCAGTGACGTAACGTACGATGTGCATGTGACGCAAGTTAACATGAACGTCAAATAACATCCCCACCCCCCAATCCAGTGACGTAACGTACGATGTGCATGTGACGGATAAAAAAGGTGCGTTTTCAAAAACGGTCAAAACGCTGGCGCGGTTTTCCCCCCGCTGGCAAAAACATGGTGTAGGTCTGCGTTAGCATTGCTAGTGCAAGCATTGGCGAAGCAATCTGTGAATACCTTGAGATCATCGGGCCTTCCAAGCCATGAATCCGATACGCATAGCTCCCCTTGTCAGGGCGGTCACGGTGGAGGGATGAGAAACTTTTGCTGGTTTGAACATTGAACAATAATTAGTGGCAAATCTCCGCGGAAAGTGCTTGGTCTACAAGAAAAAAACCTCTTAATTCATGTGGAAGCACTCTGGTCGGGAAAGCGATACCCTGCTGTTGGACAAAGCCTGGCATAAGGCTGTATGAGCCCATGGCATGCATGGAATCCAGAAACTGAACCCCCGTCCGCCATCCAAAATGCTTATCCTTATTATTTGTTGGCTGGAATCCTCCGCTTGGTTTCCTGATTTCGATAGAAGTCTACAAGGATACATTACTGCAACTTGCCTTGTCCTTGGACGTCAACTTGGTTCCTACTCAGCTGGGGTTGAACCAAAAGACAATCAAAAAATCGAAATTTTTCCTACACTGTGTCCTTTCTCTTTTTTCCCATCTCTCTCTCTCTCTCTCTTTCTATTTCTATTTCACAAATCACCGAGACACCAGGCAATCAACTACTCGTCTTTTTGTGTCTTTTTAGGAGGTCAAATGGGTCAAATGGACAAACTGCTTGAGCTCAGGAGCCACCTTTTTTTGTTTTTCATCACATGGGTCCTTCTCCCTGGATCTTGGTGTTCTTCTTCAGATCGTCCTCATCAATCACTATCCTTACACAATGGCCCGCATCAAGTGCAGGCTGGGGGGTTGAGGTCGACAAGACCTGTCGGAACTCCACACACCCTGTACATGAGAACGCGGTGGGGTGTTTTGCAGTGCTGATGAGTATACTTCAGTTGGGATGTCATACCAGAAAAAACATCCCATTAGGACCCCTTCACAGACATACACATACACACTAATATGAGTATATACATATACTGGCAAGTTAGGATTAATCATCCACTAGGAATTAACCAACCCCCACACAGGAAAAAATGTGTTGGCAATACTAAAATGGGTTGGCCGCCCCCCTGATTACAGTAATCAACGGGGGGGATCACCCGACTAACCAACCCACAAACAGAAAATCCTGTTTTTTCTTGATTTGTCAATACTAGTCTTCTAAAGTTTTCATGCTGGCTGAAATTGCTGCTTCTCATGGACGCTAATAAACTCTTGCTGTCTCCAACCCATGCTGATCATTGCTCTCTTTTTTTCACATCACATGGCTGCTCCCTGGCTCTGATCCCAGAGATTCCCCCACAAGGTTCTGTTGGCCCAACACAAACTACAACAATACAAGTTGAGTGATTAATTATATACTTCGTTGCACCAGCCTTTTTTTGACTTTGCAATCACAGACTTGTGACTTTGCAGTCACGGACTTGTGACTTTGTAATCACAGGCTCAGTCTTGCAGTCTTGGTTCAAACCAAACTTCTCAAATACTTCCTTCCTTCTTTCTTTTCCTTTCAGATCATCCTTTGCAATCCTGGCCGCTTCTGTTAAAGTGCTGCTCCCATTGGTGGCCAAACCTTCCGAGAATTCTCTTGGAGAAGGGAAGAAGTCCTCTTGGAGCCAGCGATCTGGATCACAAAAGGAATCGGCTACAAGTTCTGGTAACTTTTCTAGCCATCTCCCTGCATGCTTGAGAAGCGTATGTAAACCCGCAGCATTCAAGGATGGAACACTCCCCACTCCCTTTTGAGCCAGAGCTTGAGCAATTGAAATCCTTACTAATCTTCAGATTTGTTGTAGGTTTAAAAGAAACTCAATTAAAAGTAGATTGATATCCACTGAAATCCTTACTAATATTGAGATTATTTTTTGTTTGAAAGGAAACTCAATTGAAAGTATATTGATATCAATTCGAAGTTGATCTCTTGTGACTTCAACGTACGAGGTCGATTTTTTAGGAGAAGAACCTTAGCAGAACGTTCTCCCTAGGTACCTACCTTCCGGGGGGGGGCGGTTTATTAATCCTAACTTGACGTTATATATTTTAATATGTAAAGGTGCGAATCATGGTACACCAGTGTTTTTACAAGAATTGGATCCCTGTATCTATCCTGATGACCCCCAGCAGCATTCAGCAGGACAATAGGCATTTTCCCTAGAAGTGACCGGTTAGGAGTGACCGGTTTGCCAGGCTATACTAGTGGATAATGCCGACATGCCAAACCCTGGACAGAAATGTTGATCCTTGGCTGGTTTAATATCGAGGCAGCAAACTATTTTAAAATGCAATTGTAAGTTCTTTGTGGGTTTTACCATGCCTTATTATCTAAGAGGATCATATTATATCATATTTCCATGATATTCTCATGGGATTTCCACTCCCAGGCATTTTTCAATCCGTGGCCGTGGCCCCCTTGGGTCCCTTGGGTCCCTTGGGTCCCTACCATTCCTCCTCCAAGGGCTCGGCACGCAAGGCCATCCTGATATGGAGGTGTGGTACATACAATATGGATCAATATGGGCATATTTCATGAAGTCACAACTAGCAGTAACTGGCCCATCAAGGCAGCATTGCCAACAAAAATCCCCCGTGGCCTGATCTGATATTTCTCAATCTCGGCTCCACTCTCGACTGTCGGCTTCCTGCAAGTGTCGTAAACTTGATCCGTTGCTGGGCCGTGCGACGACACCCCAACCCAAAACAGCAACAGGACCATTGACGACTTCTGTTGGATGGAAATTTGATTCGTCCTTTTTTGGTCAAAGATTGCCGGTGAACTTAAAAGGATTTTGCACATATGTATTCACATCAAATATATTTTGAAAAATATAGTTGTATAACATATATACACAATATACACGTAAATTTATTTAAATGTCCCCTCTGGAGTTTAGCGAATAACAAACCCATGGAGCGGGGCTCCCCACCATTTCACCTCAATAAATGCCTTGGCGAAGTCGGTGAAGTTCCCTAAACCCGGATTTGAAGGTGTTGATTTCTGATTTCTCTGTAAATCACATTAAAATCCCATTAAAATCTGATTTTTTGTATTTTTGATTTGTCTGTAAAGCCATTTTAAAAATAATGAAAAATCCCGTTTCCCCCAAGTTGACGCCGGCATGTACAGCTGCTCGAACAAGGCGCCAGTGATGTGAGCTCACTGTTCAATGGCGCTGGCACCTGTGGGACCTCCGCGGGAGTGCCCTGGTGCCAAATAGCTGGTAAACATAGCCATAGTCCCATATTGCTCCATGTAATGTAATGTGTGATATGCTGTAAGCATTTTGTATATTTTTTACACCTACATTTGGGGCATTCTTGGGATAAATTTACATGGCTAACCAAGGTTTGCGTCTCGCGTCTCGGGTGCACTACCCAGCAGCAATTCTCATCAATCGAAGATATGCATTTGATCAGGCTAGTGTTCTTGACATTTCACTGGGATACAATAATAGCTTTTAAGCGAGTATGTAACCAAATATTAGTCTAGTGTATATACATACATATACTTTTATAAACAGTAATATCTCCGTGGAAATAAAATGAAATAAAGATTTTGATGGGATAACCCACAAAACAATCTCAAAACTGTGCTTGGCACAAATCTTTGCTACAGTTTCCTGTTGGACATTGCCATGCGCAGGTTTGACGTCGATCAGGCTTCCTTAATGTACCCCACAAACATCATCTCGGGGGCAGGCTAAACACAGTATGGCCAACATAAAATGATTTGTAACCCCCTCACGGAGAAATGTAGTGACCCAGGATGATTGAAAGGCAGCTGAGTCATGGTCAAGCAACATGGGCTTGGCTTATGGGCTTATGTTCATCCAACCATTGGGAATCATTGGTGGATCATAGTCCGACTTGTCGGCACGAAGTCTATGGACGTCACATACCAACCCAACTCTTGACAATGGTTAACCACTTTAGTTACCATAGTCGGCGTTGAATAAGTATATATATATACACAGTATATGTATATATACATATATTATACAATCTGCTTGTCCATGGATATATATATACACAGTATATGTATATATACATATATTATACAATCTGCTTGTCCATGGATATATATATATATAATATTATATATATAATACAAGTGCCGTACTTGGGTATAATATATATATATACGCTAAAAAAATGTCGAATACAATATATAATATCCCGTTAGAGTTGGTTAAAACCCACCAAATCCCTTGTATACTATTCCCACGATTAATATATCCCATACTTATGATCACACACACACACACACATATATATATATATATATACATATTACACAAATTATACATAGTTCCATAGTTCCATATACCCTCTGGAAAAGAAACATAGCTATGGAAAATCACAATGTTTTTTGATAGGTAAATCAACGAACTAAATGGATCTAAATGGTCATTTGTCATAGCCCTGTTAATTTACCAGAGGATATATACATACATGAAATCCAGCTCTTCGCCCATCTGGGTTTGCTCCACATCTGGCGGCATCCGAGCAAAAGGTCCAGGCTCGGCCCAAAAAGACGGGCCCACCTGGAGATGCCCAGCCGCAACGTGACCATAGGGATCTACAAGCACCGAAAATGGGACTTAAGCATGCAAAACTACGGTTTTTACATGTGTTTACCATTGCGTTTACCATTTTTTTAAGCAAATATGGGATTAACATGATTTAACACTGTGAAACTTGGGATTTTAGCCATTCAAGCAACCAAATTTGGGACTTGACCATGCAAGAATATGTTTTTTTGGCACTCTCAACCAACCAAATTTATAGGATTTCACAATTCCACCAGTTTGAAACGGATTGGATTTGATAGGGACATCGATGAAACCCTCAAATTTGATGGGAAAAACTATAGTTTCCGTCGATGATACCTTAAATCATCGCATCATGAATGAAACATCTGGTGCGAACCTGTGCGAATAGTGGAACAGATCCAACAAAACAACACAAAAAAAGTCGGCAACATGGTACATCAGCAACAACTGGGAGTTAAATAAATTCTACTGGATGAATAGGGGCATGTTAGGTGCTACACTCGTCCCACTCCCACGGCTGAGCATGGCACTGCATTGATGACCCTCACCTGACCAGGGCAGGGGATGTCCATGGCTAGTCAATGCATTTCAGAAAACTTCAGCAATAAGGGACCATTTCGTGGCAGTCTCACTAGATAGATAGGTATGTTACATAAATCAAATTAATTCGATAGATAAATAGATATTAATTAGATAGCTACTATATTTGCAGCTGTGAGCCAATCACTTGTTGTGAGCTCCTTTGAAACCCTTATGATTTGGCGCTTGCCATTGCTATCCATTGGTAGCCCCGTGGCGGCTCATGGTCACATTCGGCCCTAAGCTGGCAACACATAAAGAAGGGAACATATCCATACATAGATACAAAAACGCTTTCAAATGGCTGCGTTAGATTGATTCCTATTGATTCTCAAAAGGCATGGCACACATCAATCAACCACTATACTTTAAGTACGATCAAAACTGCCAGGTACCTTGGAGCTGACAAATGGCGGGCGCAGGAGTTAGAGCTTCATGTGAAAGGCAAGTTGAGTGAAACACTTATCTGGTGGTTTCCATAAATGGGGGAGCTCCAAAATTTGATGGTTTATCCATAATGGCAAGCCCTATTAAAATGGATGATTTAGGGAATTTAGGGGTACCCCTACTTTAGGAAACCCCATTCTGTTTCAATTAAAGGCTTTATCTGCGAGGTTCTGACATTTGGCTCTATGATGCTCTATGCCCAGCAATGCTACTAGTACTAGCATCTTGTTGGTTGTTCATTCCCTTGATTGATGAAATTGACGCCGTTGCGGCCATTGCTCTTCGTTCTCAGATTCCCATCCTTCTGCTGGAAAAACAAAAACGGACGAACGCATGTCAATGGATTGATTCCAAGGTAAACTCGACAACTCAACCACTATGTTCGCTATTTTCACCCCCCAAATCCCCAACGTTCAAAGGTTTCTGAAGGAACTGTTCCTTGAACTAGCCTGAGGAACAACAACAACAACAACAACAACAACAAGAACAATAACAAAAACAAGAACAAGAACAAGAACAACGACAACGACAACGACAACGACAGCGACAACAACAACAACAACAACAACAACAACAACAACAACAACGCGTGGAATCACAGGCCTGAATGCAATACTTCTCTCCCGGCTGCAACTTCTCAAATGACCTGAGTTCTGTTTCGCTGGGAGGGTATGGAAATGGACAGCCCCAAATCTGAGCCATTTCCGGAAAGAAATCAAAACTGCCTGACTACCAAAGAAACGAAAAACCAAAAGAACCCACGTTTACACACACAACACATATATATATATACTATATCATATACATATACAAGTATACATATACATGTAATTAAATGCATATATACATATTTATATATACACACATATATATACATGTAATCATATTTTTCCTACACATCTATAGATATACAATTACATGTTTTGAATTTTCTTTGTAATGTTTTTAATTGATTTTCAGTTTGCACTCTTTTAGACTTGCCGTCAACGGGGTCCCGCCAAGGTCCCGAACCCTCGGATCGTCTTGTTTTTGCTCTTTCTGAGCCGCAAGGATTCCTACCGCGACCAGGCCAGGAAGTTGCGAGATGTCACTGTTTCATACTGTTTCTATAGTACGTGTAGATATAGACAGTATATTCACTGATGCATGCACATATATATACATTACTATTATTATTATTGTTATTGTTATTGTTCTTATTATTCTTATTATCATTGTACTTACGTATATACTGATAGAATTGTATGAATAATTTTGAATAAATGTAGTTATATGAATATATCATGCACACATGTGCACATATGCATGTGGTCATGTCCACACACATACATGGGCATGTATATGTATGTTGTATATGTATATATATATATGTATATTATATTATATTATATACACACCTTGTGCGTGATACATACCCTAAATTCCAGTGGGTCACTGATGATCACTCATGGACTAGTAATTACTAGAAATCCCTGAAGCTGACTTCAAAAGCATCAGAATGCGATGCCCCAGAAAGCTGTCCCAAATAGCAACGTTTCAGGTCGTATTGGATGTACACTGTTAACGCTCTGGAAATGAAACCTGATAGAGGACAGTCACTCAAATATACAATGAGTGGACGTGGCTGGACTCTAGCTAGACTTTCAATAAAACAATCAGGCAGGGAAACCATGGAATTTACAACGTGAGAGTACATTGCAGATCATTGCCGCATCACAAAGAAAATCTGTTTGGACTGTTCCATGGTGGGGTCTGTCACCGAGGTTGTGTATCCCACTGCCCTGCTTCACTCAACTAATACTCGATAATATCATATCTCGTTCAAATTATCCAGTAATGTACAGTAGATTATGAAAAATATATCAACATATCGCATATCAAGATAATTGAAGATATATCAAGTGCCATTTCCCTCATTTTGTTGGTCTTCCCTTTTCGAAAAATGGTCCCCTTTTCGAATTTCGGCGCGCCGAAGCGGGGTGCCACGGTGCGGTGTTTCCAATGGCCTCAGGGGAGACCTCGGTCTTGAATTCTTGAACCACCTGGCGGAAGTAGCGCTGATGTAAAGGTCATAGCCATAGTACTGGTTGTAGTCATGGGATTAATATGGATATATGGCATTTTTGAATATAGTGGTTACGGTAAATAATCGGAAAACAATGGAATCCAAACAATGGAACCCAATGGATTTTCATGGGAATATCAAGGAATTTCGCATGGTTTTAGCAATGGTTGTAGTCATAGTTCGTGGTTGTTATTCCATGATTGATGTCATGATGATGGCGATATGTTTGTTTTCTCTAGTGGTGACCTGAGAGAAAAGAATTACTTTACTTCGAGTTATCCCCACCATGACATCTATACGTTTTGTTACTGGCAAATCTTCTGGCATTCTATCTGACATATCTTCTGGCATTTTATCTGGCATATCTTCTGGCATTCTATCTGGCATATCTTCTGGCACTCTATCTGGCATATCTTCTGGCATTTTATCTGGCATATCTTCTGGCATTCTATCTGGCATATCTTCTGGCATTCTACCTGGCATATCTTCTGCAATATGTTCTGGCATAACTTCTGGCACTCTATCTGGCATATCTTCTGGCATTCTATCTGGCAAATCTTCTGGCGTTCTATCTGGCAAACATTCTGCCGCTTTATCTGGCATACCTTCTGGCATTCTATCTGACATTCTATCTGGCATACCTTCTGGCATTCTATCTGGCATATCTTCTGGCATTCTATCTGGCAATCATTCTGGCACTTTATCTGGTATATCTTCTGGCATATCTTCTGGCATTCTATCTGGCCGTTGAGGTCCAGCGGTGCGCACTGAGCTGGGAAGGTCCTCGGTTGAGGTCCAGCGGTGCGCACTGAGCTCGGAAGGTCCCAGGTTGAGGTCCAGCGGTGCGCGCTGAGCTGGGAAGGTCCCAGGTTGAGGTCCAGCGGTGCGCACTGAGCTGGGAAGGTCCCAGGTTGAGGTCCAGCGGCGCGCACTGAGCTGGGAAGGTCCCAGGTTGAGGTCCAGCAGTGCGCACTGAGCTGGGAAGTTGGCGAAGAGCTTGGCGAAGAGTTGGCAAGGCGGAAGTGGAGGTGGAAGTTGATGCAGACATGGTCGAGGAGAAACTGGAGGAGGAGGCGGAGGAGGAGGAGGAGGAGAAGGAGGACAACAGCTCTGATAAAATCTAACAACCCTCACCTGGCAGGTGGGGAAAAACATTGAAAAACATGAAGGGTGTGAAACTATGGAATTGTGATGATGATGATAATGTAATGATGTTGATGGTGATGGCAATGATGATGACGATGATGACTGGACGTATATAGAATTATATAAATATATATAGAATTATTACGAATCAGAATGATGGTGATGATGGTGGTGGCCGGGGCGTGGTCGAGGTCGCGGTAGCAGGTGGTTTCACAGGCAACTAGCATAAGCGGTTGGAACATCTTGAAACATCTTGAACATCCAAGCAACAATCACGAAAAACATTGCAGTCGGAACCTGGGGCAACTCAAATCCCAAAGTCCCTGAAACTCAATGCTTGAGGAAATCAGCCAACTACCAATTTTCTCGAGTGACTGGGATATTCCCTTGCTTTCCTCTGCCATTCAAAACTCACTGACTGAAGCGTGTTATTCAATCTCAAGCTGCTGCTCATTTCCCTTGGGAAGTTACCAGGACCTTCAGAGTCAATTCACAAAACCGCGCAACTGCCAGCCGCACCTCCAAGTTTTCGTCTAAGATCTTGAACTCAAAGAAAAGGATATGCCGCCCATTGGTGCGGGCTCCAATCTGGCCGAAACTTCCGGCACGGGTGGCTATTCCAGTTCATCACACTTAGCTAATCATGGTCTTGGTTTAGATAGCCATGGATAACCACCCCATAACAACTGGAATGCATCAATGATTACGAAGCACCCTTCTACGTGCATTATATAGATGGATATCCAAATGCCTCTCAACCCCTGCTCAGCTACCCGATCTGATTGCTAGAGCAAGTTATATAGATCCCGTAGTAAGTGGCCATGTTCAATGCGGACGAATTTCATTTCACAAGATGCTGCCATCCCACCCAAAACCAAAAACTTCCGAAGGATCTGGTGATAAGTTCACCCCCGAATGATCAAAAAAAACGTCCCTCATGCTCGGAGATACTAGGTACACTACACAAGATACACACATTGACTTTTTTTTCCGGGGCTTCCAACCGTTTGCCCTAGAGCTAGAAATTCACAGCATGGAGATATGTGTATATACGTGTTTCTCTCTTTGATTATGTATTTAGAAAATTCTTTAAGCAGTTTCGTTTCGATCGCACGGGCATATGATGGTCCCCAGCCGTTGCCTCGAAGGAAAAGTCTCCTCGACTCAGGTAGTTCTCTGACCTGCCAAGCGAGCGGTGGATCCTGGAGGATGGAAACCATCCAAGTGCAGCGAGAGAGTAGGCAGACGGTAGAAACAGAAAGGATGAGATTGGAGCAGATTATAGATTATAGTAGATGGACAGCGAGATGGATAGACAGACAGACAGACAGACTGACTGACTGACAGACAGACAGAGAGAGAGAGACAGAGAGACAGAGACAGAGACAGAGCAGACAGAGACAGACAGACAGACAGACAAACAGACAGACAGACAGACAGACAGACAAACAGACAGACAGACAGATATAGATAGATAGACAGACAGACAGACAGCGATAGATACTGTAGATAGACAGATAGACAGACACACAGACAGACAGACAGGCAGGGAGGCAGGCAGGCAGGCAGACAGATTAGATAGATTAGATAGATTAGACAGATTAGACAGATTAGATGATTAGACAGATTAGACAGATTAGACAGATTAGACAGATTAGATAGATTAGATAGATTAGATAGATTAGATAGATTAGATAGATCAGATTGATTAGAAAGACCAAATTAGATCAGATAGATCAGATAGATAAGATAGATCAAATAGACAGGACATATAGGACATATAGGACATATAGGACATATAGGACAGATAGGATAGGATAGGATAGGATAGGATAGCTAGATAGCTAGATAGCTAGATAGCTAGATAGCTAGATTGCTAGATTGCTAGATTGCTAGATAGCTAGATAGCTAGATAGCTTGATGGATGGATAAATGGATAGATGGATAAATGGATAGATGGATAGATGGATAGACGGCTAGATTGATAGATTGATAGGTTGATAGACAAATAGTGGGTGGATGGATGGTTGGATGGATGGACGGACGGATAGATAGATTAGGTTGGTAGATATATAGGTACCGACATAAATAAACTTAAAGGGGCAGATAAATAATAAATAGATATAAATAGGTAGATAGGTAGGTAGGTACGCTAAGAAGCACATGGGCGGCAAATAGGCGAACGTGTATGTATACACGGGTTGAGACATACGGGACCAGTTGATGATCAAAGAAAACCTAGGGAAACAAACATGTATATCATATATATATACATGTTTGTTTACAATATATCATTATATGTATTTAATCATACTGTATTTGATCATATTTGATTATATGTGTGCTTTTTTAAAACTAGTAAGAAGACATTGGCACACATTTATCATAAAGTATCTGAAACACTAGGGTCCCCTGTGCCTCCTGAACAAATGCAAGGGGTAAAATGATGCTGCGGTATGGGAGCTCCCCTTTCAACTGCCTCAAACTCTCCTCGTCAATGACCACAGTCCCTGGGATGTCAGCCCTCAGTGCTGAAGCGAGTAAAGTGTGTCAGGCGCAACAATTCGTCAGGCGCAAAGAAAAGCTTGCTAGACTCCTAGATCCTTACTTGTCAAGATGGGCATGCCATCAACACAGTCGATCACAATCGTGCATGCCGAGGGAAGCTTCTGACTGAGTTTGAACATGGTTGTCATCACTAATTTCGCGTTAGACACGGAATCCGAGATGAGCGCACCTTTGCGGCTTCAATGTCACTGTTTGTTAGGGGGTAGTGCTACCACCAACATATAGACCCAAAAAATAAAGTGAATGAAACCCTAGACCAGGTCCAAAACCATCCAAATCCAATTTATTTGGCCCCGTGGATTTCTTCTTCCGTCCACGGAAAATCCAACGCGACTTTGTGCCCGGCTCCGTAGCAATGGTGCAAATGTCCCAGGTCCTGGTTCACCGCTGGCCATTGAAACATGTATGACTGATGGGTGAGAAAAAAACAGATTCATTGGAAAATGTGCGAGATATTGAGATTAGACTGACTGGAGGATATTCAAAACTTTCGGACCATATTTTGAAGATGTCTGTTTCATTGAGAAGCAAATGGTTGGAATTTCGAAATTGACTGGAAAATCGTGTACTGTAGATATGTGTAGATTGGGTGCCCGACCAGAGTTCTTCCCGCTTGCCGCGCCCTGGGCCTGTGTAAAGGCAGGTGATATGTAGGGGCCGGTACCGCTTGTACAAGTGAAGGCCAGGTCCAAAGCAGAATAACGAGAGAAACAGGTTGGAAGAGGTCTGGCCGTTTTCAGGCATCTGTGGTTGCACACTTCCTGAGTTTTATATGTGGAACGTACATGAACCCAGTCATGGAACCGAGGGTGATGTGACATTCCCATCACTGCCATGTTTCCCTACTTCTTTGTGGGTTGATGTTGTTGTTTACCATATTCTTTCAGGCCAATTTCTGTTGCTGAGATCGGCATATTCTTTCGCTGTAAATGATCTTGCACCCTTGGACTTTGCAAATATTCGGTTCCAGCATTGGTTTCATGGCCTAACCTGCGGCATATCTGAGGGATATATCCTGCGAAAAACAGATGACGCAGCATTGGAATTCCCCATCCACCATCCGGGCAAATTCTTCAAGCATCGAAATATCGATGCGCGGGTCAAGCCCGCGAGAGCATCACAAATCTTACATACCCTTCCCCCCAAAAAACAAAGCATCAAAGCCACAATTTTCTATAGATCTGTGGCTGGTTTCAGCAATTTCGATCAATTTCTTCCATGTCTCGCAGATTTGGCGATAAACTGATAAACCTCCCCCTTCATCCACAACCCTGAGAAGAAAGCTTTCGCTGACCTGGCATGGGAGACCACAACCTTGCACCACCGATGCCATTGAAGGGTCGGGCCTGGAAGCAAAGAAAATCCCGGTTTCCGCAGGAATTCCATTGGAAATTGGTGTGTGTGTGTAATGGTAATAGTATGTAATAGTAATAATCATAGTAATAATGTTATAACTCATGTATGTATATGTATATCTATCATTATCTGTATGATAGATGTATGATGTATGCATACATAATCTTATAATTTATAATATATTTATGTAGATATAGGTAGATCATCAACAAATTTGGTGCTTTCGTGAAAACACAACTTGGAAAGGAAGCAATACACTGTTTGCGGCCATGGTAAGCTCCAAGAGGTCCCAGGGAATGATGAATGGACCATGGACGGAACGTGATGGAAATAAACAACTCATTGGCGGCTACACTTCATCCCATTCATCCCAAAGATATTGCAGTATAGTCAAGAATGGTCCCGTACGAATAGTCCCGTACTGTTCAAAATTCTCTACGCTGATTGTTTCAAGGTATCCAATCCAAACAAGCATCGACGATGGGCCACCAACGCTCGGTTTATTTAAACTAGTGGCTACAAACCTGCTGATTGGACTAAGGATGGAACCACAGCGGCAACCACTTGCCCCGGTTGAAGTTTGGGCCTCAAGAGGCCGACATGCAGGCTTGGGCCTTGACCTACGGCCATATTGCACACATACTGTACTACATTTGTATACATATTACATATTACATTTGTATACATTTAAAATTTGTAGATCTATATATCTAGTACCTGGTGCTAGCAGATGCTGCATAATCATTACATGTTGACGTGTTGATGTCCGGAGAATTTGGACAAGTAAACAATTTGGAAACAGAGCAAAAACCTGTATGAATCATTCTGGTTCACCATGTTGAAGGTGATGTTTATCTAAAATCTTCACCGAGGCTGGGAGCTCTGACAAGAGGAATTCCGTTTGGATTTTGCCCGTTTCAGGGTCCTGATGTGGGTCAGAAAAGCAGCGAACTTTGGGTGGGCTACAAATGACATCACGACTATGCAAATGTGTAAATATGCAAAATTAAACAAGAATTTGTTGGAAAGCAATATGCATCATAAGAATGGGCAGATGTGGCTGGTTTGCCTACCAAAGGGCAGAAAGGACGCAGGTCTTCACAAATCAAACAGTACTGGTGACTCAGCAGCCCTGAAAAAGGTCATCGATGAAAATATATGAAACTATGACGTGCTCTCACTGCGGGGCGAAACTTTATAACTTTGCCTGCCACGGCTGCAGTCATCCTTTGATTAAAGTATCTTTGAATGCATCTAGGCTCCATGCCGGGTATATCAAGCAAACCATCACCATTCACCAAGCATCACTATGGGCACGGGTCTTGCATGAGAGACGTGCAGAATCGTGCGGGGCTCAAATTGCTTCTTCCAAGCGAGCATGACCACCACTTGCGCCCTGGACCCAGTCATTTACCTTACCAAAATGATGACAGGGGCATCCTGGCCCAAAATCAATTCTTCCAGTCCGTTCGGGCCACCAGCCACAGCCCCGAAATCCTGTTGAAAGATCTCTTTCTTCCCGTTGCGGATGAGAGTCTGCCCAGTCGCAGCTGTTCAATGTCATGGGAACCACTGGAACTTGGGAGGAACAAAGGAACAAATCCATGGGGTGGTGAGCCAGCGTGACTTCCTGTGTTTCTTTGTGATAGCTTGATGGTTGCCATGTTTACATTCGTGATTGCAACACATTCCCATGGTCCTATGGCTTTGCACCATCATCATCATCATCATCATCATCATCATCATCAAGCATACCAAACAAGATGCCAAACAAAATTGTTGGGCTTCCCCTTTGGCTTAACAATGTTTGAAACTCTCCTGGTTTGTTTGTTTCATTGGGGTCAACCCAGTGTAGTAGGCTGATCAACTAGGATCAGACGCACGACTAAATTATCTAAACCGAGCACTGTTTGGTACTAATACTATGTGTGTGTATACATATGTTACAGTATGTTATTATGTATTGTATGTACTTATATCATCTTCAATATGTCAAGAGCAGCCAAAAGGGTTCATTAATCTGGGGTCTCCACAATAATTCGGTTTAGGATGGACCAATGGACCCCAAAATCCGACCCGCTGGGGGCTCGAAACTTCGACAACCCCTGGCGTTCCGGCACCTGGTACTCCACATTGCCATCTTCCAAGTCCTTTTGCAATATGAAAATTGTCTCATTCATTCACCATGGCTCATGGATGTTGATTGCAGGAAAAAAACACCGAACATGTGCAATTTTGCATCATTCAACGACCTATCCAAAAATAGGTTTTGTACGGTTTTCTCGACATTTCCCGTGATTTAATTCTATGAATAAAACAAGAGGTGCACATTGGATACCCTGATGAGCTCTAGCTATGACCGGGTCAAGGTCAATAGGGATTCTGTCTCCCCACGGATAGGCCCGTTTTACGTGATTTCGATTTACAGCACATATATAATCACACACACATATTATATATATATATTATAATTATATCTCTTCAATCCTGACCCGTATCTCAATGTATCTCACGGACCCATTATATACACCCTTATTTGCTAGAGAGCCTACAGAGGGCTCTGTACCGGTCAATGGTGTTGAGTCACCACTGGCGAGCGGGTCTCTGATATGCGCATCCAGGAAGCACGGTATTGCTATCTTTGCTCATCGCTTGAAATGGGTCTGGTTTATTCTGGTCCCAGGTCTGCCGTGTACCAATGATGTCTTCAAACTATACAAACATAGCGGGTTTGGCAATTTAATACCCTCAGCTACTTGGGAGGGGCCTTGTTGGTTACATTGTAGACCCTAAAACGCTGGTCTAAAATGAACTACCATTGCTAAATCTGAGATTCTCAGAGGCACTTTAGACCAGGGGAGCTATGCTGAAGCTCAAGGTCTAAGATGGAGTTCCTGTGAAGCAACATGTGTATATATATATATATAACAGCATAGATGTTTTAGGAAATGCAATAAAACACATGCACAACAATATGAAGGCTATATATTTTTATGGCGAGACAAAAAGAGCATCCAAATCCAGCTAGTTACCACATACTGTAACAATACGTGATTGGGTACAAAACCGTTTGCAATAATCAGAAATAAAGAAATTGGCCAGGATCAAGCTTGGTCTTTGAGAAAGGTGGTGTTTCACTTTTTGTTCACCCTACTGGCTGGTTGTTATATTACTTTTTTGAACCACGTATATAATGTATTCTTGGATGGGTATCAGCATGGTATAGTGCTTTTGGGGAGGTCTGGAGTGGTTTGCCTGTAGTCCCAATGAGATTTATCACGGCTCTGTATGGGGGAAAACACCTTAGACTCTTAGACCTTCTACCCATTGATCACAAAATCAATTGTTGTTGAGTGGATATGCTGGTTGACTTCATTTCCTGTAACAGTAGCTGGGTCACGCCAGAACATGTCAAAGTTTGGTCTTTGAGCTAAAAGGTTGTGTTCCATTTTTTTTCACCCTACTGGCTGCTGGTTTTATTTTTGACCCACGTATATAATGTATTCTTGGATGATCTTGGATGGGTATCAGCCTGGTATTGTGCTTTTAGGGAGGTCTGGAGTGGTTTGCCCCTGGTTCCATTGAGGTTTATCACGGCTCTGTATGGGGGAAATCACCTTAGACCCCCTGCCCATTGATCACCAAGTCAGTTCACGTTGGTTGGTTGACTTCATTTCTTATAGCGTGGTCGCACCGAAGCATGTCAAAGTTTGGTCTTTGAGCTAAAAGGTTGTGTTTCATGTTTTCTTCCCCCTACTGGCTGGTTGTTATATTATTCTTTTTGTCCAATGCGTGTATAATATAAGTGGATGGGTATCAGCCTGGTATTGTGCTTTAGGGGGGGTCTGGAATGATTTGCCCCTGGTTCCATTGAGGTTTATCACGGCTCTGTATAGGGGAAATCACCTTAGACCCTCTGCCCATTGATCACCAAGTCAGTTCATGTTGGTTGGTTGGTTGACTTCATTTCTTATGGCTTGGTCGCACCGAAACATGTCTGAAACTTGGTCTGTGGCTATTAGCTATTTTTCCTTTATTCCGGTGCTGCATGTGTTCCTTTCTCTTGCGACCAATGCGGTTTGGGATGGTATCGGAGCAATGTGGTGGAAATTTCAAAGCTACTACAAGGTTTTATTGGGTTAGGAGTGAGGGGGTGGATAGGTTTGTGGTTGATTGATGTTGAGTAGGTGGATTTGCTAGTTTTGGCTCGTTTCCTGAAACTTGGCTGCGCCTGCCCTGTCCCCGGTGTACTTGCTAGAATGCCAACAGAATCAAGAACCTTGACAACCCATCATCATGCCCCATCCGCATCTGTGAAATGTTGGGTCAGTTATTGTGATACTTTTTTTTGTAAGAGGGCATGCTGCGGACATGCAGGATCCAAACCGAAACGGAATAAAATCATGCAATCGGGGTTCTGGAAGGGTTCAGTAATCATGCAATCATCTGATATATATATATATACTTTTTGCCATCCAAGAATATGATTGGTTTATATGTGTATATATATATATAACATTTTCTGATGTTCTTGGCTATTCTAATTAAACTACACTTACAGGGTAGCTGGTCCAAGGTCTACAATGTATCATGTAGCATCTCAGACCCTGGGCTGAGGAATCCTCAAGGCATGCCGATTTCAGACCTTATGTAGTTGAGGGTATGCAATTTATCATCGTTTATCTTTATTTTTATTTTTTGATATTTTTTGATTTACTAAATAGTGACCAGTGACCAGCCAGTGACTGTGAACATGCGGGACCTCCCAGGCTGCCCATTCTCCCCGGCGCCCAAGTCCTGAACCATCCACAAGATCTCGATCCGTCCTCAAGGCCCAGAGGATCCCAGGGGATCCCAGGGGATCCCAGGGGGTAGACCGGGTCAACCGTAGCCTCTGGTGATGACTAACGCTTGGCAAAAAGGGAAATGGCCCATAGAAATAGAGCTTTGCCTATAAAAAATGGGTTGATTTTCCATGGCTATGTTAAAAAACCAGAGGGTATCACATTTGAACAACACATTTCACACATGACATGATGCACCAAAAAATGCGATGCTGCTATTTCTAATGCGAATCATGTTTGCCAAAGCTTCCAAGCTTCTTAGCAAATCCGTCAAGGCCGGGGCATCGTCTTACAAGTGCATCCATTTCATACCCCTCAGAAGTATCGGTCATGGCAGCATGGCAATGATATGATTTCTTACTGTCATTTGTGCATGGTTGAAAACCATTGAAAACCTATGGGCCAAAGGTTTGGGGGGAAGAATGGGGACGGGGGTGAACAAACCGCACCCAGTGTTGGAAGCCTTGGCACCTAGCCCGTCTCATTGCACTGGTTGGTAGAGACTGGTTACTGTAAAAGGTATTGTGGGTGATAAGCATTAGTAAATTGTAATCATCCCCAATAAACCAGGTAGTTTCACAGGTGCATCTTCAATGGTTCATTGATGTTGCTCCAACTTGCCCCACGGCAAAGCCAGCCATGATCATTGGAACAGGCGTCTGATGGTGTCTCCATTGCCCCAGGGCACAGTCCACCTGTCGTCAGGCGAGGGTCATGTGTCCGAAACTTATCCAAACATGACATCAAGATACTACATCAATCTCATGGATAATATCACGCAGCTGTATGCAGCTGTCTGTTGATTTTTGTTTTCAACACATTGCTTCAAAGAAGCCGTTCCACCACATTTTACTAGTGACAGTTCAGGCCTCAAGGCTATGCTTTGGGCAGTGCGATGTTCCGGGATACCTGGGTCATCAGCCGTGCTCTTCAAACCACTTGATGGATCGTTGATGCCCCTGCCTAGCCATTCGTCATTGATTTTCTGACCTCCCATTTCCTCCCCCGGGATAAAAAAAAATGCACAAAGTGCATATTTAAATCGCATCAATCCAAATCATTCATCCTTCGATGCCATAGGCCCTTTTCGACAGCTCTTTTGTTACATCTGTTTACCATAATTATCCATAAATATGTGTTTTGTTACCTGTTTTTGGTAAGTTACCTATATAAATCCTATATATATATATATTATATATATATAGAGAGACATATATATATATATATTAATAAATATATATATATATATTACTATATATATATAGATAATTATATATATATAATAATATACATATATATATAGTGTTCACAACCAAGGGGCTTTCAATGGCTTCCATCCGCGGCGGTGTCGTCGCCAAGGTCGTGATCGGATCCACCAGGCCTTGGCCGACGACGCTGACGGGACCACTTTTGGGTATTTAAGGATCTAGGTACATGAGAAAATATGAGAATATATATCTATATTTAATTATAACTATAATCATGACTATATATAATATGATATTATGATATATTATGTATATATATTATACATGTTTATCATATGATGTTATAGGTATCTGTGGAACCTTCTCGGTATCTTGGTGGCCTTTTTTATCAGAGTGCCGGCTGGGCCATCGGTCAGGGTGGCTGGCTCACTCATTCTTCCGCATTCCTCGAAAGACTTCTACTGTCACTTTTTACTCCAACTCCAACCAAATCTACAACGACTGACAACACTATTTGTCAAGGTCCCGACACACAGCCTAAATTTGTCCAAATGCTCTATGCATGGAATATGTACCATCATGTGCCAATATAATCAACATATAGACATCCAAAGTCGCTCACGAGTAGATCAATATCCCCCCCCCTTTAAGGGGGGGGGTGGGGGGGGAGGTAAAAACTGACATGTTCACTTTCTCCAGTGTCTGGTGGAAGCTACTTCCAAATGTCAAGAATGAAAGGGTGTACCATACCATCTCTGGGCTAAAATGTGGCATCCGGAGGACCCCCCCCCACTTCTTTTGGAAGCCAAAAAAACATGTGGGGGGGGTATATTTATGTATATATATATATATATATCATGTGGTCAGGTGAAATATTTCTCAGAAATTTCTTGTCTTACCCCCCCAAAATATTCCAGGGTTAAAGGGGGGGGATAGATCAATGTAGGCCCCCGAACACTGAGTCCATCCCGCAGTGCCCACGCGGTTGCAGGGCCGCGCCTTAGGGGGAGCCCATCAGGAGCCTCTGAAAGATATTATGAGATACCCAATGATACAGAAACAGTACGAAAAAGCACTATCCGGGCTAACATCTGTGGAACAAAACGTCAAACTGAGAATGAAAGAACAATCAGCTCATCTCAGGTGGGGATAGAAAAATCGAATCGGGATGACAGAAGCCACATCATTCTTTGATTCCTCAGATGGCGAGAAACACATCCCCGTCCCCATCTTGGAGCCTTGATGTAGTACGACTTCCCAGGTGTCAGGCTCGGGACCATGCAGTAGAAGCCTCGAGGCGTACCGGACCGCAAAGGACACATTTTGGAGAGAAATTGAGAAACTCAACCGGACTCAACCGCCTCTTTCCAATTTTGTCCCAACATTTCCGTATGATCAGCTTTTATCCTTTCAGGACTGTGAAAAGATGTGACATTACATATGTTACATGAAAATAGCACCAATAACACCTCCAGGACGATTGCAACAAAAAACTCGATGGGTACCTAATTTTTGGACATCCCCCAATATATCCAGTAATAATGAATAATAGATGGTTCATAACTATTTTCAGACGCATTAGATCTAATAAGTCGAAAAAGTGGTCCTTGGTGGGAAGGGTCGGTATCTTCAGAGGACCAGACCGTTGTACCTCAGTCCTGCTTGGCCTCGCTTTACCGCCTGCGGGGTGCAACTTGTGGCACAATCTCAGGGAAAAGCATAGCCAAGTGGGTTTATAACATCTTACAACTTGATCAAATAGGGTTTATGGATGGCTATGGAGGATATAACAAACTAGACTAGTTGACGGAGATGATAATTTATAAACCAACTTTTATTTGGGGGGCCACTCTGGAAACCCATGCGTATTACACGAAATGGTTTATCATCGCAATCTGAAAAGGTATATAAAATTACAAGTAGCCCACATTTCTTCTGCGTCATTCACGTTATTTGTATCTAATTTGCAGTTTGCTAAATCACTCGGACTTTCCACTCTGATTTGCCCCACTACCCAATTTCAAGTGACCCAACACCTTAGATATCCTTAGATTCTTCAAGACCATCCAGCAGCCCCAGATCCTTCCAGCCTCCATATAAGGCCGAAGTCTGGTGTACTCGTTGATGCTGATGCTGTTGGTGCCTTGGCTCAGACTACAGCGACCCGGGGCGACAGTGAAACGTGTACGGATCAATAGATCAATGTCTAACAGCCACCAGTCATTAACTACAGGTTCAACCCCGAAAAGAGCCGATTCCATTGAACTTTCCGATCACATACATTCTGGCCGTTGCATTTTGCTGCCATGTGCCTCTGCCACCTGTTCCATTCAAAATCATCACCAGGCGGTGGCCAAACATCGGGGGCTGAGCTGTCTGATACAATTTCTTCTAATATCCCTGGTGGCAAAAACAATCAGAAAAGAGGGAATGCAGCTGAATACTGGTCAAGCAACAAGTGTGTACAGCGGTAGAATCAAAATTTGTGTGAGAGGTTGTTTGTGAATCATGCATCCACACTTGCATTGCTTATGTGTACATACATTTACAAACATAAATATGCCATTGCTGTATCTAAGGACCATTATGGATCTATATATATATACATATATCTATCTATATATATAGTACACCAAATACATCCAAACCTTCACTGACCCTGAAACTCTAGGAGGCCCCGCAGTCGCGATCCATCAGCATCCACACTTGGTCCAACCATTCAGGCCTCCCATCAATCCTCTTGGATCATCCCAGGAAGTCAATGGAAAAAATGGTAAAGTTTAAACATCATCACTATACTATATATATATACTATATACTATATATATATATGTATGTATGTATCACTATCATCATCACCATCACCATCACCATCATCATCATCATCACCATCATCACCATCTCCTTTATCCCTTTCATCCATCATCTCCTTTACAACATTCATCTTATCATGTTCATTCATATTACTTAAACTATGGTGTCTAAAAGCACAGGTTTATTTTATGTTATCTATGTATTTTAGGCAACTCAAGAGCAACCAAAAGAAGTTCATTAGTATAGTATCATGAGTGGTCATTATCGGTCTGTGTTGCAGTGTCGTCGAGAGCTTTGACTGTAAGCGAAATCCCCAGTAGTGTTCTCAACCAGAGTGCTCAAGGAAACAACCCTTCTGGTGAGGAGTTCTTGCAATCTGGTGTGCTGCAACAGGCGTGTTCTGTATCACGGCCGCCACAGGAATCCTAGGCATGATATGAGTTTCCTTGTGCGTAGTGGATTCATTGGCTGGCTCAGGAGTGACATGCAATACCACATAAGGTCTCGCAACGTAGGATCGAGCGGCAAATTGGTTGCCACCATAATGATCCATAATGCACGAATGGTGCAAACATACTTTGGTAAACAAAAACACTTCGAACATGAGGCCTTGGAACAGTCAGTCACTTCCTGAAGTTTGATCATCCACCATCTCTGGACCTCCAAAAAAAAAACAAAAAACACGCGCCCGATCTGGGACACCCTCGCTTGCTATAGTCTTCGAACGGTGGTCCCGTGTCGATGTCGCCCTGGATAAACCTCGGGACGATATCCCCGAACTAAGCCGTCCATATCAAGCATGCATAGCTATACGCGGAAATTATTCGGTATATTACGGTATATTGATTATAGTGTGTATACTTGATGACGTAAAACACATTGACATATCAAAAGTATGGGTCTGGTTCGCATTGGGGAACGCAGCATATGGATCCTCAGTGCTAGAAGTGACAAATTGAAACCACCCAACTTTGTAGTCATTACGTGCTTCAGCATCTTGACCTTTGCAGCTTTCAAGAATCAAACAGCCAAACTTGCAAAATCCTTGATTGAATCATGGGAAAGTATATTTCAAATTACGTAGTTGACATTTGGGTTCCCATTGCCTACCTAAAGCATGCCTTTCCAAAAAGCCCATCCGTTAACACATGCGTTTGATTTGTTCCGTTAACCATCTTTTTGACAGGCCACATAAGCGCAGCATCGGTCTGTCATCATCATCATCATCATAATCATCATAATCATCATCACAATCACAGTCACAATCACACTCACAACCAACGAGTAACTACTGTAGATTCCATCATGAATCTGAATACAACTGAAAGGAAACGGTGATGCCAGGGACGCAACTCATCTCTTGAGACCTCGCCGTTGCCGTTGATGTCAAGCCATTCCTTGATAGCGCTTGGGAGCAAGAGAACATAGGCGTTAAGTGGTCTTGGATATGATTCCTTGATAGCGCTTGGGAGCAAGAGAACATAGGGGTTACGTGGTCTTGGATATGATTCCTTGATAGCGCTTGGGAGCAAGAGAACATAGGGGTTAAGTGGTCTTGGATATGATTCCTTGATAGCGCTTGGGAGCAAGAGAACATAGGCGTTAAGTGGTCTTGGATATGATACACGTTGAACGCATGTATACACTTTAGCCTATAAAGATACATCAATAGACAACTAGAACTATATATATATATGTATATACGGCATGACCCGCCCGGCCATTTACAGTAAACATACGGAATCCAATTCATTTAAACATACAGTAACCACATTTAAATATACGAACTGAAATACTACCTCCGGGGCCTCGCGGTCTGGCCCGCCCTCCACATATTTAAATGTCGTTACCGTATGTGTGTGTAGTGTAAGGATATACAGTAGAATACCGATATGTGTAACATACGCGTAAAGTGTGTATGTGGTTTGTTTAATGATTTTAAATTTTAAATGTAATTGAATGCTTTGGTATGCGGAATGAATAAACTCATGCTTCACCCAGGGCATACTTCATGGCAGCCAACTCCACTGAGAAACCCCAACCCAGGACTCTTCAACTCCTAGGGGCAGACCAAATGTGTGGGGATGGGGTCTATGAGAAGAGGTTAATGCTTTCAGGCATGCATGTGCACAAGTAGAAACGCGAGCGTACACACACATTCATATAATATTATTCTGATTGACTACTGTACTATTCTTCATGTATTCAAAGAACGTACATGCCATAAACCTCAGCACATGAAACTTTCCAAACCTGACATTTCTGGACAGAGTTGATGCACAGCACCTCCAAAGCGCGTCATCAAATACTCTGCGAAGGTGCTGATGACTTCCTACAGGAATGGCCGTTCAACTGTGCTGTCAAGGGTGCTGGTTTTATACACCATTTAAAAAAGAACATCAGGTGAAAGCAACAGCGATCATTGCCAAAGGAAACTTACTTTCCAAACCCAGGGTTGGGGCTTTCATATTTTTTGGGGTGGTAGAAACATCAACAAACCTACTGTACACTGCACACCACGTCCTTGGGGAGTTGGCAATGTCACAAACCAAGATAGCACCATATATTCTGAAGGGGCCGACACACCATCATCATCAGCATCATCATCATCATCATCATCACCATCACCACCATCATCATCATCATCATCGTCATCGTCATCGTCCTCGTAATGATCATCGTCATCATTTTCTTTTTCATCACCAATAATCCGGCGAAATCGTAATTCTCATCATCATCGCAACAGCGAGGGACATGATTGACACGATCAACAATTCTTGACAATTAGTACAAGCATGACAAGACAACAGAAGTACAGTAGAAATTCGGGAAAGGAGACTCACCAATCACCAATCACTCAGTCGCTTTTTAAAGAGTCGTCTGCCCACAACTTTCTTTTAGTCACAACCTGAAACACAAACTTGTGCTGAATGGCTGGCTTGATCCATCCATATCCAGAACTGAGTGACCTCATTCTCGAGGTACGGCTTCTCATTCTGCCTCAAACTGCGAGCTCGCACTCTTTGATTTGGGATGCATCGGATGCCCGATCGCAGTGTTTTTAGGATAACCCCCGACTCCCCAATACTCCCCATATCTGATGGAACTGATGGAACCAAAGGTTTTCTACAAAGATTCGCTCCAATATGAATTTCATGTGTGCTGGTCGTCCGAAATGTTTCAGGCCACGCGAGCATGCTGGGCCAACCTCAACGGACGCTAATTGGACCTGCTACAGACATGGAAAGGCCATGAAAGGCCCGTACTAAGCCCAACAAAAATCGAAACTAGAATTATAGACTTTGACTTTTCAAACTGTTCAACTGGCATTCAACTGAGGTTGTTGTGAAGTTCTATGGAAAACCACGGGCACACGAAAGGGTTCACCATCGCCAAGTGGCGCCGCGAGAGTCTCTTCATGAACAATCCCGGGCCTTGGTAAGACAGGCCGGCCACCAATCATGGCCATATTATGGCCATTTCAGGGCCCTTGGGGGTACCTAGCATATATAAGGTCTATGTAAGGGCTATGTAAGGGGATATACCCCAAACATCTATCAAACTATGGCTTGATATGCTACAGTACCTCGATCTTAGGATCCTGAAATGGCCATATCCAGTATCCAGTACTCTCCGGTCATGAACATAGCTATGGAAAATCATCCGTTTAAGACTAAGAGGTACAGCATCGAACTAAATATGTCATGACATGTCATGAATAAGAATTACCCATGAACAATTGTGGTATACGTTTATAATGGTCATTGAACACTCACACACACATATATATATATTTATTATAATATAGTTATATATATATATATACATACACAAATAGACATAATATAGATGGAAATACTGGGATACCATCTGATAATCTACCAGTTAGCCATGAAACATCACCATTTTTAGAGGTAAAGCATCGAACTTCATGGGACGCGGCTTCCATCATCGGAAAATCATGATCCAGGTTCCCCATCGAAATGTCCTCTGATTTCGGTGAAATCTCTCCATGTTTGCTGGTTACATGGGTGTCTCTGGAAATGGGGGTATACGGTATACCCCTATTTTAAAAAATAGGGAACATGATTATCCAATGGATTTGGGGGCACACAATTTTAAGACAAAACCATATGTCACATATGTCACTGTCCATGATTTTGTGGTGTTTCCGTGGAACTCTGGCTGATCACAACACGCGCTCCGCGCGCTCGGTTTCGGAAACGTTTTTTTCTCCGCCAGATCCGCAGCCAGTGCAGCTCCATGCCACAACTACCTGCCAGGGTGAATCCCTAGATATTTCCTCTGTAAAGATCGCCTATTTTGGGGGATGGAACTATAGGTTATATAAATCACCAAAAGGTGATGTTCACAGGGAAATAGAGGAGACACGTATCAAAAAAAAATATAAATGCATCAAAAAAAAAATATCCAGCACGCATCAAAAAAAAAATATATATGCATCAAAAAAAAAATATCCTGGTGCCACTGTGTGAGACCTCACGGGTTTCGTGCTGCAAACCTAGATCAAAAAAAAAATATCTGTATCAAAAAAAAAATATCGTCGTAGTAGTAGTAGTAGTAGCAGTAGTAGTAGTAGTATAGGAGTAGCAGTTGTAGTAGTAGTAGTAGTAGAAGTAGTAGTAGTAGTAGTAGTGGTAGTAGTAGTAGTAGTAGCAGTAGCAGTAGCAGTAGCAGTAGCAGTAGCAGTAGTAGTAGTAGCAGTAGCAGTAGCAGTAGTAGTAGTAGTCGTAGTCGTAGTCGTAGTCGTAGTCGTAGTCGTCGTCGTAGTCGTAGTCGTCGTCGTCGTCGTAGTCGTAGTAGTCGTCGTAGTCGTCGTAGTAGTCGTCGTCGTAGTAGTAGTAATGGTAGTAGTAGTAGTAGTAGTAGTAGTAGTAGTAGTAGTAATGGTAATGGTAGTAGTAGTAGTAGTAGTAGCAGTAGTAGGAGCAGGAGCAGCAGCAGCAGCAGTAGCAGTAGCAGTAGCACATAGGCACAAGTCTCGCTGGATATCAACAAAGATGAAATTAACCCAAATAAACGATGATGTTTATGCAAAAAGAAAGGAATAGTAGGTAGCAAGGGGAACCGGTTTAAAAATAAAAGCGGGTGGGGGGTGCAATGCGTACCAAGAGAGAAGCACATAGGCACAAGTCTCAATGGATATATTGCAAGTAAGAACGAAAAGATCAAGAAAGAAGCACTTAGGCACAAGTCTCGATGGATATCAACAAAGATGAAATTAACCCAAATAAACGATGATGCTTATGCAAAAAGAAAGGAATAGTAGGTAGCAAGGGGAGCCGGTTTAAAAATATAAGCGGGTGGGGGGGTGCAGGGGGGAGGGCGCAGCGCCTCCCCCCGCAATGCGTACCAAGAGAGAAGCACATAGGCACAAGTCTCAATGGATATATTGCAAGTAAGAACGAGAAGATCAAGAAAGAAGCACATAGGCAGAGGTCTCGATGGATATCAACAAAGATGAAATTAACCCAAATAAACGATGATGTTTCTGTAAAAAGAAAGGAATAGTAGGTAGCAAGGGGAACCGGTTTAAAAATAAAAGCGGGTGGGGGGGTGCAGGGGGGCGGGCGCAGTGCCTCCCCCCGCAATGCGTACCAAGAGAGAAGCACATAGGCACAAGTCTCAATGGATATATTGCAAGTAAGAACGAGAAGATCAAGAAAGAAGCGCATAGGCACAAGCCTCGATGCATATCAGCAAAGATGAAATTAACCCAAATAAACGATGATGCTTATGCAAAAAAAAGGAATAGTAGGTAGCAAGGGGAACCGGTTAAAAAATAAAAGCGGGTGGGGGTGTGCAGGGGGGAGGGCGCAGCGCCTCCCCCCGCAATGCGTACCAAGAGAGAAGCACATAGGCACAAGTCTCAATGGATATATTGCAAGTAAGAACGACAAGATCATCAAAGAAGCACATAGGCACAAGTCTCGATGGATATCAACAAAGATGAAATTAACCCAAATAAACGATGATGCTTATGGAAAAAGAAAGGAATAGTAGGTAGCAAGGGGAACCGGTTTAAAAATAAAAGCGGGTGGGGGGGTGCAGGGGGGAGGGCGCAGCGCCTCCCCCCGCAATGCGTACCAACAGAGAAGCACATAGGCACAAGTCTCAAAACAAAATGTGAGCGCATGGTTCATGTATGTTTTGGTATGTTTTGGTCACAAATCTATGTGGCTCTGACTTGCATCTCAACTCAGTATTTCTGCAACGGGTTCCGAACGAGGCCAAAAACGATGCCAAAACGAGGCCCGAACAAGGCCAGAAAATAGTTTTGGAAACCCCTCAGCTCTAGCAGCTCAGCAGCACTTTGCACGCTGCCCGTGGTGGCTGCAAGCTGCAAGTGTTGACTGCACACATGGTCCTTCCTTCCTTCCTTCCTTCCTTCCTTCTTTCCTTCCTTCCTTCCCTTCGTTTCCCCCTTGCATCCTTCCCTCCTTCCCTCCTTCCCTCCTTTCCTCCTTCCCTCCTTTCCTCCTTTCCTCCTTTCCTCCTTCCCTCCTTTCCTCCTTCCCTCCTTTCCTCCTTCCCTCCTTTCCTCCTTCCCTCCTTTCCTTCCTTCCTTCCCTTTTCTTCCTTCCTTCCTTTCGTCCTTCCCTCCTTTCCTCGTTCCCTCCTTCCCTCCTTATTTCCTTTCTTCCTTCCTTCCTTCCTTCCTTCCTGCCTGCCTGCCTGTCTGCCTGCCTGCCTTCCTTCCTTCCTTCCTTCCCTCCTTTTCTCCTTTCCTCCTTCCCTCCTTCCCTCCTTCCCTCCTTTCCTCCTTCCCTCCTTTCCTCCTTCCCTCCTTCCTTCCTTCCTTCCCTCCTTCCCTCCTTCCTTCCTTCCCTCCTTTCCTCCTTCCCTCCTTTCCTCCTTCCCTCCTTTCTTCATGGTCATTTATTTTTTTTGATGCATTTATATTTTTTTTTGATGCATTTATATTTTTTTTGATGCATTTATATTTTTTTTTGATGCTTCTCCCAAATATCAGTGCCCATGTGATTTTTTGTAGGGCAAACAAGGAAACCCTCGGGAGTTTCAAGGAATCACTCGCGTAAGTTTAGGGCTATAGAGGACCATTTTCACCCGAGGTCAACTTTTTCCATATGGATTGGGCCGTTCATGCCCTACCCATGGCACATTTGGAGTTTTGAACTCAACAGCACCGATATGTCTGTCTTTATTGACCCTTTGGCAATCGAACAGGGAAACGAAACATCCAAATTTTCAGTGGGAACATCATCTAATAAATCGGCAGTATACATGGATGGATGTCTCAATGGGGGATTTCCCATTGTCAGGTTAGATTCCCACAGGTCATTGTGGCGGCAAGCCCTGGAAAATTATGTTGATATCTTACCAAACAGGAGAGGAACCAACACTTGTTCCAGTATGCTATTGTTTCCTGTGGCTAAATCATGAAAGAAACGGTGAATCCATGCTTTCCAAGGCAATTGGTTTTCACTTCTATTTGGGTCAGTCCAAAAACTGGGTGCAACATCAAAATCCCATGCAAATTCGATGTGAATTCAAAGTTTTAGGAAAACCCATATCCACTAGATGCATTGGTCAAATACGGTCAAATCATGTCAAAATCCTACTGTTGTTCTCAATTCATGGTAAGACCATGTTAAAACCCGCTTCTTGCTGATCTGGCGTGAAATCCCGAGTCTGGTTGGCGATTTGTTTGCTTCATATCTGCCCATTCTTTATTCATAGACTGAATCTTAAAATAGGGTGCGTACCCAGAAACAGCGATTGTCATTGTGACCTTCCTATTAACAATCACAATATCTTGATGAGAACTTGCCCCTTATCAATAACAATTTTATATACCGTAAACATTCAGACTCATTGCGGTATCAGCTGTCGACATCAATATATGTACATCTAATTAAGTATACATATATTGACCAAAAACAATGAGTGTCTATTCATCATGTTAATCCATGAGCCACAATTATCCCTTAAACATGTTTATCAATATATATGTATATGTAAATACAATACACAAAGCATACTACAATATTATCCATTTAAAAACAAGAACGTAACATATGATAAAGGACTATCATGATAAAGAACCACTCTATAATACTTGCATGTATATATATATATATACATGAAACAGAATGGAAAACATACACCATTTGTATTCAATTAGTATCTGGATATGATATCCCATTGAAACATATATTAACCATAAAGAACCACATATATCTCCATATATCCCATGATTATAACCCCACATGGATCATGTTTGATCCAATCCGCAGCAAAAAGGAAAGCACCGAGGCACTTCTTGCCCTTGAAGTTCTTGGCACCACCTCCAGCTCCTCCACCCTTGGGCACCTTTGGGCCTGGCTTTAGGAGTTTCCGTGTGACACATAAACCCCGGATATCTATCCAAGAAGATACAAATGAATAGTACGAGTATGTATCTTACACAACTTGTAAGTTTTTTTTATATTTAATGTATATACACATGGGTTGGTTATTGTTTTTGTTTACCAACACACACATATATATATATGGTCAACAAACAAACTACACGCACACATCGGTTTGGCCATGATGGACGTTTTGTAGCTCATGTTTGGTCCCTGGGACCCTCTATGCATGGTGGTGGACGGCGCGTTTGGGTGCTGCTTCACCGGTCTTCTGCGCTGCTGCACGCTGCTGCTGGAGACGCCAAAGCTCTACAACTACACGTGCACATGGGTGTATCTGTAGAAAGGGATATGAAGGCAGGATGACACTTGACCATCTGAACGGACCTCCAAGTCCCTTGCATATCCTCTACCAATCAACATAGCTATGGAATACTACGGAAGCCATGGCCATGGCCCGTTTGTAGATAATTCGCCTATCAAAAAAATGTGGTTTTCTATAGCAAAGTGGTGAGGATCGCCAGAGGGTATCTAGCACTTGTTGAGGATACATGGCCCATAACAAATGGTGCTTTTCCATCGAGATCTATGCTATCTACCATCCGGTAAGTATTCCCATGGCAAGCTGGAAAATCTCCCAGTGGGTTCGATCTTCCCAGCAAACTAAACCTCCATATCCTCCATGTGGGTATGGGTCAAAATTAGGTACCCCAATAATTGGATGGTTAATACTAAACTAGACTAACATCTGTGGTCCCCTAGGTCTTCCATTTTGACCCACATCCATGTAGTTCAAGGATTTTCCACGTTTGATGATTGCCGGATGGCTCCACCGGCGGCATGCGATGGCCTTTGTCTGCTTTCGCCTTGGTCTTCGGCACGGCAGGCTTTGCCGCGGTCTTCTTTTGAGAGGCCTTGGAGACTCGCGGTGATCATTGCGTTGGGGTTTTCGTTGGGATGCTTTTTTTTGAGGAAAATCTGCGGTATATAAAATATCAGTACTGTAACCCTTTTTCTTGGGTGGAATTTTAGTTTGGGGGGAGGGAACCCTCTTTTTTGTGCAGAAAACATGCGAAACATGGTGGGTTTCCAGGTTGAAAATAATACTGTAAACAAATCCAATGATGGCTATGTTTATTGTTCTCTCCTGGGAAAACTGCTTTTTGCAAAGCGACATGTCACTTTTTGAGTGAAGCCTTTGCCACTAGAAGTCGGGCTACTACTGGATAACTGTGGCAATAATTCAACTTGATCATGATATTCGTATTTTTACGTTTGCATCTTTCATTTGGCACATATATATTTATATAGATATATAATCACAAATAGTTTATATAACCATCTCAGATTTGATAGCTACATTTCTTCAAACCTATATATATATATATGTAAAGTCAAGTCATTCAAATACAACTTGATACTTTGCTAAATGGCATTAAATGGCTACATGTTTCTAGAGTACATGCTGATAGGCTAGGTCATATTTGAAGTTTATGCCTACATAGATATATGCGCAAAGCCGGTACAATGGAGGATCTCGTGCAGGGTCAGCATGGTTCTATCAAAAATGGTTTGGAAACTCCATTCGTAGCTCCAAACTGGCTTTCCCAACATTCATGTAAGGGTGGGGAAGCTCAAATCAATTCCCAACTGCTATTACACCCATATTATTTTGAGTTTCAACCTCCCATTTTTTTTGGAAACAGACCAAATGTTGGATTTCCATGGATTTCCCCAATATTTTGTTGGTGTTTCACCATGATTCAACCGCCCCAAGGTTTGGTGCTGCTCCTCATGGGATCCCTTGTTGGGCTTCCGAACCGCCTTGGCCTTCGCCTCCTTTGCCTCCTTCTCGCGCTGGGCGCCTCAAGGTGGGAAACTCATCCATGTTTTTTAAAAGGGGAAATGCTCATCTACATTATGGATATGATAGGGAACTATTGATATGATGATATGACAGGGAAATCATATGACAGGGACATCATCCACTTTGTTTTTGGAAGCTCCACTTGATAGGAAAATGAAAAACACATGCTATTAAAACATCATGAATAATCCAAAGGTTGGCCTCCTGGCAAGGAAACATCTTCCATGATACATCTTTGTCTTACATCTTCCCAGTAGTGTGCTAAAATACACATTTCCCACTACCAGCTTGGCTCACCGCAGGTTGGAAAATCGCTCAAACATTTGGATGAATGACCTGTTCACCCTTAAAATGCACATGGTTACATTGGAGCTTGATCATCAGAGTGCATCCTCCCAGGATTGATCACTGGACCCATGGATTCTGGGAAGCCCCACGAAGCTCCGGTCTTTGCGCCTTTTTCTTCTTGATATCATCCAAGGACATCCCGACCTCACTGCTGGTGTTCTTCCAAAATGCTGCCTCCAAGAATCTATTTACCCAAGAATCATGATGATTTACACACATCTAAACTGAATCTTAACCTTCAAAAACACAATTTAAGTAAGTTCTATTTTGATGTTTTTTGAAAATGATTTTGAGGCATTGTTTACACCACCTGAAGGACCCCCGGGTATTGTGGTGGGCACTATCCTCGCGGAAAGAAATGCAACACACATCATGTGATTAAATAGGTTATAGGTGTCATACTTGTCGGGCGAATCCCTACCCAGACATATCTATACAATATATGGATGACATTCACTAAGATCATTAAGTGCGTGTCTTTAATATGACATGGCCGGATGATGTCGGATGGATATTCAATTGGCTTTAACCGCGTAGCAAACTTAAGACGGTATCTAGACTCTGTCGACCCTGGCTGTGCGTCTAAATCTGCCGGCCCGTTGGCCATTCCCAACATATATGTAGCTTGGGTACCTTCGCAGAACAAAAAAAAAACATGACCAGTAGGATACGCATGCCAGTACCCAAGGCTACCTCAGTAACTAGCGGGACATCATCCGCGAAATGGCTCAGAACGTGCTCCTCCGTTTATGGCAGCAATTTATTATATAGCAATCCAGTAAACTGGCTACTGGACATGTATCACATGATAGGAATTTCAATAATTAATGGTCACAGTCAGTGGTCAAATCAAATCCATGTTAGTCCCATAATTATGATCAATCTATGATCGTTTGCTGAATCCCTGTAGGCCTCCCAGTGTTTATCCGCAAATTCTCAATCAATGTCCCAACATGCTCACATGCTCGAAATGTTTCCGCAAGATTTTCCCAGTGATGATGTCAATCTGAGAGTCCCACGATTGCCTTCTGAAACTTTTGGGCTTTCCTGGCCTTCTTCTTGCTACCTTCATCAACCTGTGTAAGGCAGGGGACTGGCCTAATAGAACAAATGACATGTTCCACTATCGGTTCTCTTCGTCTCCTTTGGGCTGCGTGATGTACGCTGGAGAAGTTCACTAACAATACTAACACAAATGGCAGGTGCAATGATCTTCTTAAAGGTGTGAAGCTGCTGCAATTTTGCAGCCCAGCCCCAAAAAACATCCGTTGATGATGTGAGTTCAAGGGCTATCAAGTACGAATATGTAACACTTGTAACACTTGTGTAACTTGTAATAACTTGGAGTAATAGCCTCCCTCCCAAAATAGCTAACCTCCCGATGACCCCGGGCAGCTCTTCGCCTTGCCCTTCTTGTTCATTCGGCGCCAAGCCTGAAAAGGACGTCTGAAAAAATGCAACGTTGGCCTCTGCATGGATGATGATCCAAAAATTCAGCAGCTCCTATAGTAACTATAGATGTAACTAGTATATAGGTCCTAGTAACCTCTAGTGAGGGGGAAACCAGCTACCCTCTGTTTCTCAACCATTTCCGTGGAAAAGAAATAACATTTTTTCATAGACTGCTTGCCTGATGAAAAGCATGTTTTCCATTCTGACTCAAGATGTTCCTGTTTGGTCATCAAATCTTACGATGATTAATGGAAAACACGATCCATCATGATCCATCTACATAGATCCGCCTAAATTATGATATTTCACTATGAAATAAGGCCAGCTATGGGGATGATTCTCCTTCCTAACCATAGTTCAACCAAATAGATGGGTTTGTCTGAAAATAGGGTATCCCAATTCCAATGGATCATCATTTTCCCTTTTTTCTTGGCGATTTTTGTGAGAATGATCCCCAAACAACCTCTTCCTTCGCCCATGGCGGGGCTCGGCCTGCGTCCAGCGGAGCTTCACAGGCTTGATTCGCTGATGGAAGAGGCTGTCAGCCTTGGCATTGATGAAAAAGCTCACCTGGCCGCTGACAGAAACCCACTGGATATCACTGGACACGATGAACAAATGAGGAGCTAAATGGCTAAACGGCTATAAACTTGCAGAACCAACAGTATGTAAATCTACTTCGGACCAGCTAAAAACCATTGTCTCTATATGTCTCTATCACGAGTTTCTTTCCACCAATTCCCGTCAAACCCACCGTGCCCCGGAGGATGACCTTGGCATCCTTGGCCACGAACTTCTGCCCGTGGCCGGGGTAGATGCCTGGGCCGCTGCTGATGCCCACGGTCAAGTGGGAAAAGATGAAAAAATCATTCCAACTACAGTATCAATAGATTGCTCCAAGGGTCTTTCATGGACTTACATGTTTTTGCATGTTTTACCCCCAACTATGGCAAATACAGCAGTTCCTGCATATGTTGGCAGCATCCAGCATCCAGTTCTGGAAAATACTTGTAGCAGTTGAGATTTGAAGATTTCGAGACCACCAACTGGCTTGGGCTTATGCAGGCACCCTCCGATATGTAATCTGAGATGACTGGAGAGTTAGGAATGATCTGTCCCTGCCCTACCAACCAGTCATACAGTGTGATTCCCGGAAAAAAACCTTCCGCAAATAGTTGGCGATTAAACCCCCTCCCTCAAAGTGATTCATTGTCATTTGTAACTCAACCGTTGAAACAGTTGGATTGTGGTATTCAGGTGTATACGGCATTAAGATCTGGCATCCTGATCCCACACCAGGACGTCAAACATCCACCAATCAAGAAGCAAAGCATAGACATCCTGTAGATATTGAGCACTTACAACACCCTGAGTTCAAGACGGTACTCAGTGTAGCTGCACTGATCGGTCTTGATCACCATGGCAACAGAAACACGGGGATGGCGGTAGCGCCAGCAGCCCCAGTCGAGTGGGATAGTGGGTTTGAGCCTGCGATTCGCAGCGGCACTGTTGAGGGTAGAACCCTCCGCATAGTCAAACAAGTGTCAAGCATTTCCCAAACCAGAAGGAGTTTTGCTTGGATGTTTCCTGGAAGATAGTTGGCTACACTAAGTTTGAAAAAATGTAGGTTTTGCTGGGTGCCTTATCTGCTTTTGCTGGATGCTGCTGACCCAGAAGGAACCAACAAAGCATATACAGGACTCCGCACCAAGGGGACCAGCACCCCCTAAAACAAGCAGGACTAGGAATAATGTGGATTCATCTGGCGAACACTCAATAAACTCTCTTTTTTGGCCAGGCTTTCAAACACCATCGAATGGTAGACCTGGCTAAACAGTGTATCATAGTGTATCTTATGAATGATCCAATATGGGATTGATGTAATTTTACATTGATTGAATGCTCCCTCATGACATAGACCCTGCTACAAACAACGGACAGCTTGGAAGATCTTGGAAGACCCTGCGGCTCCACGACGCCATCCTGGGTTTCTTGGGTCCACGTGCCAGGTCTCAATTTCAGTCTCATCGAGGCTGAACTCGTAGCCTTGGGCCATTTTGTCGGGATCATGGTCATCAACAGCTTTCAAATTTTCAATGAGCCGGGGGGACCCGGGGGTTGGGGCCAAAACCCTTGCGACATCTTGCGACATGACAAGCGCAATTTAAGATTGGTAAGGGTTTCAAGGCCCGAAGATGCCATGGAACTGGGGCCCCTGCAATCCTCGTTCTGCAAGGCTGCTTCTGACTCGGCAAAGCCTCAAAGAGTCATTCAATGGCGGGAAAGAGAAACTCCAAAAACAGGGTCCCAAAATGGCCCAAATACAGGGATTAACAGTTAATTAACATTCTTTCACCAACACGAACTGGCTGTTGAGCGTCTTATTAGCAGAAAGGGGATTCAACCAGCCAAAACCGTGGGCCCTGACCATCGGACACACCTGAGACCCTCACGGATCACGTAGTGCGTCACTGGGGCGCCACCGCAGTAAGGTCGTTTCCAGCCGAAGGACCTAGGGGGTCGGGGCTGATTCGGCTGATTTTTTGGGTAACCATCAATATACCCCCAATGTTAGCATATATACCATACATGGATCCTATGGGTAAGTATTAATAGGTTGGAGGTTCAGCCACTGAAAAATATGAGCTTCACGGCCTCATTGCATCGAATTTTCAGGGAAGATCCTGCGGCTGGAAAACATGTTTTACAAATATTTCAAATCCAGCAGCTTGTGCCAAGAATTAGTTTTAAATTATAATTATAATTGTATACACCTTTTAAAACATGTTGCATTTGAGAAATGTTCAGCACCCAAAATTCTTAGGGCCACGTTTATATTGTTTTTGGGTCATAGATAATATAGGTAGACGCACCCATATATCATAGTGTTCGTGAAACCATAGTGAAACATATCCCAATAAATATCATTATTTTTTCATTTATAGATGATCTTCCCATTATATCCCATTACAAACCTGACTTGACCCCACACATCCCCTATGCATATACATATATATATATATATATATATGTATATATTATATGTATGTGTATATATATATATATGTGTGTATATATATATGTATATATATATATATATGTATATATATATGTATTTGTATATATATATATGATATGTAAATATGTATATATATATATATGTATATGTATATATATATTATATGATATGTATATATGACGTGTGCGTGTGTGTGTTGATCAAATTCCCACACTAAGAAACCGTGGATGAGCTTGGCCTCACCATTCCCGGCCCCGTTGGGCTCATGGCAAGGACGTACAGCCCACCCGTAGCAGCTCAATTCCTGGATCCTGCAGACATGGAAATGATAAAAGAATTGGACAATACATGGTGGATGTTGATGATTGCCAATTCCCAAGGTAGAGAAAAGTGTCAATGACGAACACATATGTTGATACAGTATATGATGTAGAGTAGATGGTTCATCACAACAGCTTTGAGAATGTTTGATATCTGGCGCATTCGTAAACCACCACAGCCGAGGCATGGCGGCTTCCCAAGCAGGGTTTTCGACTACTAAGTGAGATGCAAATCCAAGGAGGGGTTGAACAATCCCCAAAGAACACAGATTGCCATGTTTGAACATGTTTTGATTTTTTTTGATAGGAACCCATCGCACGTTTTGGCCATGTTTGGCTGACTCTCCCTATTAGTATACAAACTTATGAGCCAAAACAATTTCGCTCTCCGAACTATAAGTACCAGTAGTGGAAAATAATGGAAAATAGTGGTTTGTCCAAACATTGTGGATGCCAGATTTTCATCCATTTTCCACTGAAATTTCCTCATCCTTGTCCCGTCATGGTATGTTTTTATTGCGCCAGGCCTGTGGAATCTCGGCCGGACAGTATGCACCCTAGGCAAGAAGTGAGCAGTGGTGCAACACGTGGAACATTTCAACAGAAGAACGCTCGTGTAACAGCACAATACTGCATATATGATCATATAATGAATCATATATGTACACTTATGTCATTGAAATTGATTGACTATAAACAACATCTGCCTACCTATCTACTTTCCTATCTATCTGTTAGAGTAAACAGTATTCTTCACCAACGGCATCTTGGGACATCTTGGGATGACTCACCCCACCAGGGATTGCTTGCCCCCACAGTCTAGTTGGCTGATAGGTTTTCTCATGCGTTATAGAGCAATAAATCCCCAATAAGCCAGGTGGTAAAACTCGCCATAAATCTAGAATAAACATGAATAACCAACAGGTCGTATGTGTCAGGCTCAGTTATCAGCAGAAAAAACTTTTTGACGGTGGCAGCGTGGCACCTGGATCTCTTAATTGTTGAGCCCGATAAAGGATTGATTGGGGAGTGTAACACCATCGTTACTGGCATATAACCATACCTAACATCATGTTTGCAGGTTGCAGACCCATCCTACTTAGTTCTGTTCCCTATTTTTGTAGGTCACATATACTTATTTCGCTTAGTTCTCCCCTATTTGATCTGGAAAAGAATGCAATCTGGCAATGAAACATCCACCATCCTTAGATGCTTTGGCATAGTTTCTTATATGGCAGTGGGTCAAAGTCAAAACCCTGTGCCCAATGAACCATCATTATCTAATGGTTGGAAAAACATAGTAACATTAATATGGTCACCATCCCCAAAGTGATGCCAATACAACTGTCTTTCCCTTGAAACCATCCCAACGCCGAGGCGCAGAGGGCGAAGGTAAGCTCAAGGGGCTCCAAGGGCTTAAGCCCATTTCATTCACGCTGGCCACCTGATTTATAGATATCGAAAATTATGTAGAAGCCTACATGTTACAAGTACCAAGCAGAATTCTGTTGTATTGGAGATGGAATGGGGATATATTTTTGGGGATGTGTTATTAGATGTTGTATGGTACACAAACTAATATGCTTGCACGGAAATCCCCAAACTAAAGGGGCATCTATATTTATATATATATATAAATGGGAAAATCATCCAACTAAATGGAGAATGTTGCATTGCCGTTGCCATGTCTGATTACCAAAGGGCATCAACTTTGTGTGTATACCTGGAAATTCCAACGTAGGCCCATTTTCTGGCAATTAGCCCAGAATGGACAATTGAGCGGACCTTGGATCAAATCGGTGGAAATCGGAAACATGCGAAACAAAAGGATCTTGACAGAACCTGGTTTTGCGTGGTATTGATCTGCTTTGTGAGGTCCTTTGCATCCATTGATTCAACAAAACCGATCTTGGCTTTCACCCTGGGAACCTGCGATTGACTATCAGCCGGAAACAAACAAGGGGGTGATACTTCTTCGGAAACCGTAAATTTGAATGCCAGCCCTACTCTCCACCGCCTATTGAGCCCTTGTAACTAGCCCAAACCTTGCCTGCGTTGTTAAATTCAACAGATTTCAACAGTCGACTCAGAAATCTGCAAGCCAGTTGCGATATACATACCGTGTTGCTTTGGTCTTGGAAGGACAAGATTTAGATATTATATTTATATAGTTTCAGGCCAAATTCTAGGAGGTGTTTTTACAAGCATTGTTTGACCAGGGCCAGTCCGTTTTGAATAAGTTTGTCCAAAGACGGAACACATGGCAGGTGTTGTTTCTGGAATTATGCATGTTGTCAAAAAAAATGCATTTTGTCAACCAAAACTGTGGATTGTACGGGTGCAAACGTTTTGACATCAGTTCCATGTCAGAAAAAGATTACATTAATATTCACATTATTGTACATATAGATACATATAGCGTATGTACGCATATATATATATATGTATATTTAAGTGATTATAAGTGTGTATGTATATACAGTGTGTGTGTGTTTGTTTGTCTCTCTCTCTCTCTATGTGCGATATTTACTATTTATTTACCTATCTTTCTCAAATCATCGAAGCATCAAGACGGCTGCAATCGCAGTGATGCCGCCCCATCTCCGAGCGGCCAGACTCGAGCATAGTAGTAAGTGCCAGGCTGCATGCCTACAAGATTGTACCTCTCCAAGGGGCAGCTGGGGACTAAACCCCCGGATGGAAAAGCTGGCTCTATAGTTGTTTTTTTTATGTTTTTTTTTCCCCTCCTCTTTGCACTATTTTTGCACCAACTGGTGTCATCGTCGAAAGGCAACAAAAGCATGCCAAAGTGAAAAACAACCCCATCCGACACTCTCTGGGATTTTTTGGGATCCTGAAGTGGCAAAGTTTGGAGAAAAATCGGGCAAGTCAGAAACCACAAATAACCACAACATGTCCATTGTTCGTGAGAATTTGCTGCCGTTGCACCGATTCAGCTGGACCTTTGATTAAACATGGGCAATCAATGGCCTTACTATACCTTGATGTGAATTGTTTCCGTTTCACGGGGGCCCCTCATGGTATCTTGCCAAATACCAGCTTGGATCTTGGCAGTGGGCAAGTAAGGGAATGTAAAGCTCACAATGTCCAGCCTACGGTACACTCAGCTCACACATTGCACATAGGTTATGCCACAACCATCCACAACCTCTTATGCAATGTGTGACCTGAGACAGTTGTGGTTCAGGGATTCCGCTGGCGGTCGTCATTCTGGTTCTTCATGCTGTCATGCCAATCATGGTCTAAGAGGAAGAAAACCCTGAACAAAATTAACCTCTGGTTTTTTTCCCCTCAACTGGAACCACTGCGTTGACGGAATTGATCACGGAAAATGAAACATTTCGGTACGATTCGGCATCTTTTGGAGTGAACATCCCAAAACTCTAGGTCCTCATCAGCAAGACATGATTACTTACCAATCAACCAAATACATCAACCAGTCTCTCCTGATGGGGGCACTTGTTGGTGTTGCTGGGTGGGGTCTTGGGCTCTTGTTCGCTTTGTATTTGTTCAGCCAGCGACTTAAAACCTGAAGCACGGTGCGGATGGCTGCTGACACCAAGGGGACCAAGCAAGGCGGTGGGTCCAGTTGGTAAAAAAAATGGCTGGGCTGACAACCAACACAGCAAAGCACAGAAGATTTACATGCCATATGGTATTGGCACGTGGTTGAGCCAACCATATGAACATATACGAACTATGAGTGTGTAAGTAAGGAAAACAAGTAAGTAACCAACGGGGGACGTAAGGGAAACTGTAATCAGTGTGGTGACAGTAAGTAAGCGGGCAACGTAGAGGAAAACATATATTTACTGGATTTTACTGGCAACCAACGCCTATTCAGTAGACATCCACTGGTTGGTTGTGCGACACCACCCCGAATAAAACAACAATCAGAAACACTGCGCAGAGTGGTCTCACCACATAGGACCAAAAATTATGGCAAAGCACGTCAATGTATATATATATATAAATATGACTATGTGTGTGCATTTTACATGAAAACAATGTAGACCCTGCATAATCACCATGTATCATGTGAAGAGGAAAGTAGCCTTCGAACCCCCAAAATTGGCAAAATCATGCATGATCTATCTTAGTTGAATGGACAGTAAGAACCAACAAGCATGGCTGTATGACACCCATCCATAAAATCCCATAGGAATTACTCATCCCCACATACAGCAAATGGAAAAGCACACATTAAAGCGGCTAGATCAAAGAAAACACACACTCCCTCCAGCTAAAATGCACCCCGCCTAAATGCGGCTGTTCTGGGGGTTTACGTTAGTTAGAGGACAAAAAAAATGTAGTGGACCGCTATCCCGGCTAAGAAATCGCCTTTCTCCCCAGTGTACACGCCGCGCCGGATCTGGCTGTGTTTGTGGTTGCGGGACAGGGATTCCCATAATGGATTGTGCTTAGTCCATCCAACCATTCAGCACTATTGAGCGTACAAAAGAAACATCAACCAATAACGGTTTTGAGGATTGCTCATATGGACTACTCAAATGACAAAATGTGAGTCTGCCAACACAATGATCTAAGATCTTCTGGTCACGCGAAGAGGTTTGGGATCCTTTGAGGGTCCCCAATTGCCTTTCATTGGGAAAAAACACACACACACACACTCAATGCTCGGCATGTTTCTCAGTTGGGTCATTGCATGCCCTTGTGTCATCCCAGATGGGAATATCATCTGGGATTGCTTTCCAACAGGCTTTGTACATCTTTTCATTCTAGTCGAACCAAAGTAAGTTCCATTGAATTTCCCTTGCAGTTGAAATCCACACCTAGCACTGGAGTCGCACAGTGCCGGTCTTGACGAACGTATTGTTAAAGATTTTCAAGGCTTGGCTGACTGCAACATCAAACCTGCCAGTGAGACTGTCGCCCTCTTTTCCTCCAGTTCTTCCTGGATGGGACATGGGTTTTGATCAGCCTGACTGCTGACTGCTTTAATGTTTCGTGGCATATGTGCATGCAATACACAATCAAATCTGTTTACACACACATATATATATATATATCTATCTGTGTGTGTATTATGTATGTCTGGTCTGGCCTGGGGTATATAACATACTGCAATGTCATGTCATGTCATCTAATTTAATCTAATTTATGTATGTGCCATGGTCAGAGCATCGTGTAATTGTCCACCGAAAGATATGGTCGTCGCCACATCACTATATGAGTGTACTGTGTGTATCATGAGTGTATGTGCAAATGAAAACACAAACCTTTTGCAACAAGCCAGGTCCTGGGTCAGCGTCTTCGTCATGGCTTCCTAGCACGAAACCATGTCCGGCTCCAACTCGAGGGATTCCCGGTATCATTCCGCCCATGTAAGGATGGTGGATGCCTGGTTCGCTGCCTGATATATTCAAAGTATTTCTTTTGCACACTCATACGCATATATGATCATATATGTTAACTATGTGTGTATGTATATATTATATACTATGTATGCGTGTGTATACACATATAATATGTGTGCATGTGTAAGTATATATATATAGTAATGTATTGTAATCGCTGTGTGTGAGGCTGACAAAAATCATCCCCATCACTTGCGCAACACCCTGCAGAAACAAGGTCATCATTAATTCTTCACTAAGGACGCCCTTCCCTTAGGCACGCCCCCCTTTCCGCCTTGAGCGCGGGGTACTCAGAAAACCTGGTACCATGGGCACAAGTCGGAAACCAAATGCGGCCACTAGCCAACTAGAATGCCAAAGGCTCCCAACGGGGCAAATGTGAAGTCCCCGATTGACTTGCCGGCAAGGACATTGCCACACAATCTGCTCAGAAATCCGATGCTAGTCGAGTCGAGCAAGATTCGGCAAATGCATGAAATGCATGAAAATGATACTCGTTTGAATTAGGGGGGAGGGGTTGGACCCCCCTCTGCATAGTTACAAATCACTAGGGACCAACCCCAGTGTCTACAAAAAGCAATCACCTGCAAAAACCTTGGGACTACAAAAAGCTAGTGCCAACTCTAGGCACCATGCCAAGAACCGAGCTAAATCAGCTCTACAAGAAGGTTGCTCAACCCACATGGTTAACTTAAAAGCACCATCAATCATCCAGCTGGATTTTTCCCTATCCTTTTTGTAGAGGATTCTGTGCTCTCAGGAGGTTGGGTCCCTTCGAACCTTGGGCATTTTGTAGAGAAAGAAGGCTTTAATGCAGAAATCCTTTTTTAATCCTCGTGTCGGCTACTTGTAGAGGTGCCGTCCGGCTATGTACAACAAAGTGTCTATACTACAGTAACCTCTATACTATCTGCGTTTTGATTCAACCTGCACTTTCCTTTCAAGATATACACTACAAAAAAACTATGCATCTAAAGTTTAAAAAGAGCTGAAAATCGGACATGCTAACATGATTTTTCCCATGAACATTTTGTAATTGGCCTATTCCATCCAAAGTTCCGACCAACATCTTTCTCAGGAAACATTTTGTAGCTATCATTGCTTGAATTTGATTGGATCAAGTTTGGACCTCATGCAGTTATTAGATACCATTCTGTATTGGCAGCGGGTTCAAAATAATTACAGGTTACTCACTGGCAGCATGTTCACCCACTACAAAGTGCCAGCACCAGGTTGATCCTCTACAAAAAAGGCCCATGGGTGCTTTCTCCCAGTCTTACTGGGGGCAGCGAGTTCAATTACAGGTTGCGCATTGGCAGCGGGTTCAAAACAATCACAGGTTACGCATTGGCAGCGTATTCAATTGCAGGGTAGGTACTGTAGTGGCAGCGGGTTCAATTACAGTTTATGTATTGGCAGCGGGTTCACAATGAGTATAGGTTGTGCACTAGCACCATGTTCAATTACAGGTTAGGTAGTGGCAGCAGGTTCAATTGCAGGTTATATATTGGCAATGGGCTCAAAATAATTACAGGTTACGCACGGCAGCATGTTCACCCACTACATACAAAGTGCTGACACCAAGTTGATCCTCTACAAAAAAGGCCCATGGGTGCTTTCTCCCAGTCTTCACCCCTGGGGGAAGCCCTTCCTGAACCACTGCCCCACATTACAAACCTCAAACCCAAGGATTTCATCTTGCACATCCTTTACTTTCAGTGAATGCCATTTTACAAGGTTTGCAACAAGAGCCGCGACGTCGCAGGTTCCTTTTGCAAAAAGTCGGTTAACCCATTTGAAGAAAACTACAAAAACCTTGGCACAAGTGCTTTGTTTTTCTACAAAACGACCCTACCTGGCGGTTTGTAGCGTAGCCCAAGTCCTCCCCTTTCTGTGGGTGTTTTCCCATCCCCGATCAAAAAACTACATGCAAACACTCTATAAAATGACCCCTCTATAAACTGAGTTCCCAGGTTTTCAGCACTCTGACATGGCTGTTCAAGCCTCAAAATGAAGTCCTCTACAAAAAACTGATTGCATTTTTACATGACCGAAAAACTGTTCCAAAATGACCTCTACAAAAAAGTAGTGCATCCAACATGATTTATACATACCACTATTTGTCTACAATGACTGGGGAACCAACCCCATTTTTCTCTACAAAACAACTATTTTTTTCAGCTTTATACGGGACCCAAACCCCCTCAAAACGTAGACGAAATCCAAACGTTGATTGAAAATGAATATATAGAATCACACTCCGTGTGAGAGAACCCCTGGATTAGGCCTTTCTCTCAACAATGTCTAGTGAGAGTCTAATGTTTCCATGGTGGCATGGATATTTCGCAACCATCCGCACATTGTAGCAGCAAACAATTGTTCCATAAGCATGTACTTCTGATGCCTTCACCAAAAACAAACATGAAACATATACAAACATAAATTTTGTATGTACACAGAATAATTATGTATAATCAAATGTATATAAAATCAAAAATTATTTCCGCGGCCAAATCGCTGCTTTTCAAACACCACCCAGACCCGCGATGCTGGAATCGAGCCTGGATTTGGCGTAGCCCAATATTTCCTCATGACGCGCAGGATGGCGATGATGGTTCGTGTTTCAAGCCGTTTTGGTGCATCACTGCATGCCACGGCATCACAACAAAACATCAACGGTCTGCTAAATTTCATCATTTTTTTTCTCCCAAGAACGGGATCGTAATCAAAAATATGAAATCCCATCGTAAAATTTGATACCATGTCGTCTAGTTGTGATTGCAACATGTTTGAATTTATCAAGTTTTAGCCCAACCCAACGGTGATTCACTCTCTGCAGATTGCAAGAGTTGATTCATGATTGTCTTCGTGATCTCCTCTAGTAATCAAACATGGCTTGCTGGATCATCCTGGACTAAAGGGCGGTTTCCAGTCAAGTTATCACAATCTATAATCATCTATAGCCATCTATAATCATTTCTAGTCATCTACAATCATCTATAAGCAGCTGTAATCAACTACAATCATCTATGGTCATCTATAATCATCTATAATCGTCTATAGTCTATAGTCATCTATCATCACCTAAAAATGATCCACAATCATCTTTGATCATCTAAAGGCATGTATCATCATCTATCGTCATCTATCATTAACTTTAACCATCTATAATCATCTATCCCATCATCTATAATCATCTACAATCACCTTTGACCATCATCCATCACCATCATCTATCATCAACTATCCTTAACTACAATCACCTATAATCATCTATAATCAAATTGAATATTCTCAAAAACATCTACAGCTATTTTTGATCATCTCATCTATGATCATCTATAGTCATTTAAAATCTGTAATCATGTAAAACCATCTTTGTTATATAAGTATATAATCTTTCATCACCTTTTACTCATCTATAACCACCAAAAATCATCTATAACATCTGTAAAAAATATTTAATCATCTGTAGGCATCTATCACCATCTAAAACCTACAATCATGTAAAACAATCTTCAAAATATAATCTATCATTATCTGCAATCATCTTTTAATCAGCCATAATCAAAACGAATCATCTATAACATCTCAAACATCTTTAATCATCTATCATCATCTTTAAACACCTACAGCAATATATAATCATCTAAAGTCTAGCATCATGTCTAACCATCTTGAATGTATAATCTATCATCGTCTAAACTCATCTATAACCATCTACAGCCATCCATGAACATCTACAATCATCAATCATCAAAAATTATATTAGTCATCTAAAACATTGGAAATCATCTATAATCATTAATAAATGCCTAAAATCATCTCTTATCACCCATAATCACCTATAATCATCTATGATCATCTATCATCATCTATAGCCATCTGTAATCATCTATAACCGTCTATAAACATCTATTATCTACATTCATCTATAAACACCTATGATAATCTGTGATCATCTATAAGATTATCTTTCATCATCTTTACTCATTGATAACCATCTACAATCATCTCTTATCACCCATAATCACCTATAATCATCTATGATCATCGATGATCATCTATAGACATCTATAATCATCTATAGTCATCTATGATCATCGATGATCATCATTATAATCGTCTATAACCGTAAATACCAATGTTGTTTGCGTCTCGAAAGCCCAAAACCACGGTATTTACGATGTTTTTTCGCTTCTGGTAGCAAAACACTGGTATTTGTATTTGCGCCGTTTTCGGCATGTTGCAAGAAGTGATTTTTCCATACTAAAGTCATAAAGCCCATGTAAATTACAGCGTTTTGGGTCTGATTTCAAGGTTTGTGACGAAGTGGAGGGGGGATTCTAAAATGAACAGCAACCGCCTGAATAATCAGGTAACTGGGCTGGCCAGCCTCCCCTTTACTTTGTAAGGCAAAACTCAAGGTAGCAACACTGGAGCTACCATTCGAAGCAATAATCATATATAATCAAATATATAATCATCTTTGATTATCTTAAGATCATCTATCATCATCTATCATCACCTATCATCACCTTTTAAACAGCAATCATCATCTATCAGCATCTTGCATCATCAATAACCATCTGTAATCATCTACAATCTCGTGTAATCATCTATCATCATCTTTGATCATTTGCAATCATCTATGATCACCTATGCTCATCTACAATCATCTGTAATCATCTATGATCATCTAAGATTATATATCTATAATCATCTATCACCATCTATAATCAGCTATAATCATCTATCATCATCTATGATCATTTGCAATAATCTATGATCATCTATGTTCATCTACAAACATCTATAGCCTATAGCCATCAATGAAAACCAAGACCATCTATAATCACCTATAATCGTCTATAATTATGTAAAATCATCTATTATCACCAAGGTTCATCTATAATCATTTTTAATCATCTACAATAATCTATGATCATCTATGATCATCTATGACCATCTATGATTATCTATGATCATCTACGATCATCTTTGGTCATCTATGATCATCTATGATCGTCTATGACCATCTATAATCATGTAAAATCACCTATAATCATCTATAAACATCTACAATCATCAATAATCATGTATAATCATCAATGATCATCTATGATCGTCTATAATCATCTATAATCATCTTTCATTGTCCTTTGATAAATTATCTCTAGCAAACAGCCAGCACGCTTGTTTTCCACGTGCTGGCTGTCTTGGACCATCTTGAGCCAAGCTTGAGCCAAAACATATACAAGGGGCGAAATTTCAACACCCCTCCTTTAACGCTAGTGATAGTTTAACTACACTTTCGTTGGTTCTAAATTCTTTGCTCCACTGGGCTTTCCTTTACGGAACTCTTGGCACAGTGTTCTCATGTGGTTTTCACATGTCTCTCTACTCACAGGTTTTGTGCATAGGTCAGCTAGATTTTGTTTTGTGTTCACGGGATTTACGGTCAGGTCATTGTTCGCTACGCGTTTTTGTGGCCAAAGGTATCGGTTTTGTACGTGACGTAGTTTGCCTAGACCGCGTCTTGCAGCAGTACCTCTAGCGGCTGACGAATCGCTCAGCACAATTAGGTCGTATTTCTGACCCCAGTCTGCCATCAGCGATTTCAGACTTAGTCCTAGTGCAGCACCACGGGTAAGTGCATAAAACTCACTCTCTCCACTGCTTAGCGCAATGGTTGATTGCAAGTTTGATCCGTGTTTCACGCAATGTGTTCCAATGGATACGTATATAGTGTATCCAGTTGTGCTTCGCCCGGTCAGTAGACATCCGGCATGGTCGCTGTCTGCGTGTACTTTGATCACATTCGTAGGTCGTTGTGGGTGGTACACGTTGACTACTCTTGGTCGTCCTACCAAGTATCTTCCCAACCTTTTCAAGTCTTTCATGTCGCTTTCATTCGGCGCTTTGATCTTTCTCGTCAGACTTTCCACAGCTTCACTCAGGTCTGCTCTGTCTTGAGGTAGGAATTGGGCTCTCATTACCAAACTCCTGTAGAGCGTGGTCTGCTCTGCCGTCACCGGCGGAAGTCCAACCGATGCCAGCACTTCAGAACTTTTCTTCTTCTCCGCTGGTGTGGTAACACTCTTTGCGTTCTGCAGATTCAATTGTCTTATGATCATCTCAGCATGTCTTGGATCTGCTTCTATAGGTTACTCGTCCAGTTTCTTGTTCGTATGACACAATCCTGTTTAGGATCGTCAGATGTTTTCCGGAACCTTTTCCGATTTCTCCATCACATCTGTATTCGTACTTTTCCTTCAAGACTTGTTGCATGTACTCTTGCCCCTCCTGGTCAACTATTACCAGGAAGTCACCTCCGTGCACCAGTAGTTTGATATCCAACTCACCGTGTCTGAAGACACTTGTCCAGGCCTGTCCCTGGTGGAAGTGTTTCCTTTTCAGATGGTTGGAATAGTCCTCCTGCCACACGTGGCTCGCATCTTGAGTCCCGTACATGGTTTTCTTGAGTATTGCGCCGTATCCTTCCTGCTCGTCTCCAGGGGGTAATGTGACGTATATTTCTCTCCGAGCCTCTCCGTAGTGATGAGCTCTTGATAATACATCGTACAATGCCAACCTCAGATCTTTTCCTTTCTTGTTCTTCTTCCTTGTTGCCAGTTCTGAGCATAGGATCTTGACCGCTTCTAACGGAGGCATGCTGCTAAACAACATATGTCCAGGCAATGCTCCATGTTGTTTCTTCACTTCACGGACAACGATCCTCGATCTGTAGTTTGGGTGTTCTCTGTCACCCTTGTTTCTGTCTATCCATTTCAGTGTTATTGGTCCCTTTCCTGTTTTTTGCCAACATTCTTCAATTGTTCTCTTTTCGTACGCCTTTGCACGGTGTAACCATTGCAGTTCTTGTCTTGCTGGTAAGACTCCTTGTGTGTCCAAGTGTGCTCCAGTGATGTCATCGAAGAACATCTGATCTTCATGGTCTTCCTTCTCGTGGATATTTTTCCCTGGTACAAAATCCTCTTCGTATTCTTTCAGGTTAATGTCTTCATCTGGACTGGGTCCAGCATTCACTGAATGTACTTCTCGGTATGCTCCATCAGCTTTCATTTGTCTCTTGAGTGCTCTGAGCACTGCTCGGACTAGAGCTGGAGGGTATATTCGGGCCATCTTTGCTCGTCCGTTCACTAGGTGGATGTGGCGATGCCACTCATGCTTTCCGCCAGGTAGGTCATTGCTACACACTCCACGCAATGTCTCTGCCAATTCTGGCGGGTTGGTCATCCAATACGTGGGTTTCTGGATGCACCCTTCTCCGGAAGCATCTCTTCCTACCATCTTCCACCTACACATTGGTCCTTCTACGATCTCTACATTTGGCATCTCACTGATTTCTTAGATGCACTTTTCTTTCCACGACTTTGCTGACTTCGGATGTTCATGTAGGAAATACTTCCCTTTCTTGGTCCTTTGTTTGTAGATCGAACATGATGTTTCCAACGTCTCTTTTCCTTCTTTCAATCTTGCTTGGAATTTCTCTGGGTCCATTCTTTCTTGGTTCAATCCCTGCAAAACCGAAAATTGATCACAAGGTGGGCTTCCTGTAGTCAGATACGGATCCTCTTCATCCAGGATCTTTTCAAGACATTTCACCTGTGTTTTGTCCGTCAAGTCCCAACCTGTCTCCAGGTCAACTGCGTATCCAGGAAGTAATCCGAATGCCTTGCACTTCTCTGCGAATCTTGGTGGTGAAAATATTTCCGTCACATCATGCGCTCCCAATGCATTCAGTTCTGTCTTTGTAGAATCATCAACTTGCGACTCCACTCCACTGTGAAACAATGACTGGATGTCTTGTTCTGGATCTTGTCTCCGAATCTCCGGTTGCGGTACAACTGGTGACCAAATTTGGTTAAACTGGTCGTGACTGAGTGTCGAACCTGGCGCTGCTGATCCCGACGCGGCTCCCTCTGCTGAAGCAGCAAGGGGCTCCGATTGGATCTCTGCTGAACCTCCGGTTGAAACAACCAAGGGCTCTGCACTTCCTTCGGCTTCATGAACCAAATCGTCCACTGATTCACCTACCCTCTTTTCACCTTTGTTGGGTTTCGCTCTTGCTTTCTCTCCAGGTTCTCCTCTTTCTACTCCTTCTTGGTTTCTCTTAGGGCTAGTGACCGTTTCTTCCTCGGGTTGTCCCACGGCTACCGTCGGATCTTGCAATCCTGTTACTTCGGCTTTCGCCTTCTTCGTCTTTCCTTCTTCCTGTCTTCTCTCAACATCGGCCAATCTCTTTTGAGCTTCTTCGGTACCTTTCAACCTTTCCATCAGCCTGTTTCTACAAGTCATGTTGTGGGTAACTGATGGTAATCCGACGATCAACGCCTCACACCCTTTGCAGCCAGGTGTGTAGTCATACGTGCCGTCCTCTTTCTCCAGGTCTTTCTTTCTCACATGCAACTGCCTTGGTCCTCCATCTCTTACAGCAGGAGTCAGCCTTTGTGTGGCTCCTGGCAATGCTATGTACAACCCTAGATCTCCGGCTTCCCTTGGACAAAGCATCCACAAAACGCCTTTAAGATCCTTCAGCTCAGAACGATCCCATCGTTCTGTCTCCGGTCTCCTATGTACCGTATTTCCTTTGACCACTCCTTGCAAGGGTTGTCATGACCAGCACGTCTGCATTTCTCCCATGTGTTCCCACGTAGTATCCGCTCATCACTCTTCTTCCAAGATGGCCACTTCTCCTTTCACCTGTTGCCCCATCATCTACTTTGTACGCATCCAGAGGTCTGAAGAAAATCCTTTCTCCGAACCTCACCAGTGGTCTGTTCCACTTTCTTCCAGTCAGCTTCTGGTAGGGAGTTCTCCCATGGTCTTTGCTTGAGAATCAGCTCAGGCAAAATGCCGCATGTCGACTCAGCCAAGTCAAAATAGGATGAGTGTCGTCCAGCTTTCCTAGGTTCTCTTCGACTTCACTTAAGAGTGCTCGAACCTGTCTTTTCTGATCCCTGACCGCTACTTCTACAGCACCATTCGCACTATGGTCCCCTGTTGGGGCCTCCTGCAACACTATTTCGACATCCTTTGTTTGCACCTTTACTTCTCTCTTAAGTGCAAGGATTGCTGCTTCATTATCACTTTTCAAAGTGATTCTGCGATTGCCAGTCTCGTTGCTGCAGGATAGCAGAAAGTTCACTGAGAACAAATCTGGTCCTTTCGTAGAAATGGTGGTAGCCCAGGTCGTCCTTCACTTCTAAGTTCGCTGTTTCTCCTTCCTTTTCTCCGAAGAAATAATCGAGAGTTATCACTGGTACTTCACTCTCCTCATCGTGTGAAACTGTTTGGTGTCGAGCTCAGTTGCTCGAGCTCGCATGCATGTAATCATCTATAATCAACTATAATCATCTATAATCACCTATTGTCATGTATATTCATCTATAATCATCTATGCTTATCTACAATCATGTATAATCATCTATACTCATCTAAAACCGTCTATAATCATCTACAATCACCTATAATCATGTATAACCATGTAAATTCATCTATAATCATCTATAACAATTTATGATCATCGATATTCGCCTATGATAATCTATCATCATCTATAATCATCTTTAATCATCTAAAATCAAATTCAATCATCGGTATTAATCTAGAATCTTCTGTAATAATCTACAGACGCCTACAATCATCTATAATCATCTGTAATGATCTACAATCATCTGTAATCATCTATGATCATCTGTAATCATCTATGATCATCTATGATCATCTATAATCATCTATCACCATCTACAACCATCTAAAATCACCTATAATCATCTATAGTCATCTATGATCATCTATGATCATCTACGATCATTTATAATCATCTATAACCAACTATAATCACAAGTAATCTTCTATAACAATCTATATTCACTTACCATCATTTGTAATCACTTATAATCATCTACACTCACCTATAATCAATTACAATTATCTATGATCATCTACAGTCATCTGCAATCATTGAATAAGCATCTACAATCATCTACAATCAATTACAATCATCCACAAACCATCATCTATCATCATCTATCATTATCATCTAGAATCGTCAAAAATTGTTTATATATAACAAATCATCTGTAATCATCTACAATCATCTACAATCATCTACAGTCATTTACAATCATCTATAAGCATCTATGATCATCTACAATCATCTATAATCATCGGGAACCATCTACCATCAACTAGAATCATCTATAATCGTCTAAAATTAATCATCTAGAATCTACAATCATTTGTAATCATCTATAATCATCTTTAACCATCTATAACCATCTGTGATCATCTGTATTCATCTGTGATAATCTAGAATCACCTATGGTCATCTATAATCATCTCTGGTCATCCATAAACATCTACAAGCATTTGTAATCATCTATAATCATCTTTAATTATCTACAACCATCTAAAGTCATCTACAATCATCTACCAACATCTATCATCAACTACAATCATCCATACTCATCTACAAGCATGTGCAATAATCTAAAATGATCTATGATAATTTACAATCGTTTAAAATCATTTATAATCATCTACAATCATCTATAATCACCTATGATCATCTACAATCACCCACAATCATCTATGATCACCTATAATAATCTATGATCATCTACAATCATCGACAATCATCTAAAATCCGCTATAATCTTCTATAATCATCTGTAGTCATCTAAAATGATCTACCATCATCTATCATCATCTAAAATCATCTCCAATCATCTAAAATCATGTATAACCATCTATACTCATCTAAAACCGTCTACAATCATCTATTATCATCGGTAATCATCTTTAATCGTCTATGATAATCTATATATAATCAACTAAAAATCTTTCATCATCTATAATGAATCACCTACAAGCATTTGTAGTCATCTACAATCATCTGTAGCCGTCTATGATTATCTGTATTCAAAAATAATAATCTAAAAAAGCATCTATAAACATCTATAATTGTCTATAACCATCTATGATCAACTGCATTCATCTATGATCATCCATAATCATGAATAATCATCTATAACCATCTAAGATCATCTGCAATCATCTATGATAATCCATCATCATTTATAATCATCTACGATCATTTAAAATCATCTACAATCATCTATAATCATCTAAAATCATCTATGATTATCTACAATCATCTTTAATCATCTAAAATCATCTATAATCTTCTAGAATCATCTATGGTCATTGATAATCATCTATGGTCATTGATAATCATCTCATCTATGATCATCTATAGTTATCTAAACTTCTCTATATTCATCTATATTCATTTACCGTCATCTGTAATCATCTATAACCATCTAAGATCATCTGCAATCATCTATGATAATCCATAATCACCTACAATCATCTACAATCATCCATAATCACCTATAATCATTTAAAATCATCTACGATCATCTATAATCATCTACAATCATCTATAATCATCTATAACCATCTATAATCATCTAGATTATCTACAATCATCTTTAATCATCTACAATCATCTATAATCTTCTATTATCATCTTTAATCTTCTATAATCATCTATGATCATCGATAATCATCTATGGTCATCTATAGTTATTTATAAATTTGGGATTTTCCAGCCATGTTTGATGACACCGGAGGCTCAATGTGGCACATCCTCGTCCGCTGAGGCCTGGACCATCTGCTCGTTGACCCTGGCCTCGACCACAGCACTGCTGATCCTTGCCTCGAGAGCTCATGGAGCAACCGCTCGGACAGCTCTGAGGTATTTTGAGCTTTGAAAGCAACATGTAAATTCATTTTGATATTGGAATTTCAGAAAAATGTAGCATGAACATGTGTTGACCAATGGAACTTGTTTCGAACTCTTTGGAGCCAGCGGCCAAGTCCCCGAGCCGCCGTCTCAGCTGCAAAAATGGACTCAAAGGCCTGCGTTCTGCGGCTGGCAATGTGTCATACATGGAAATATCGTGGAAATATCATGGAAATATCTGACGTAACCTTCAAATCTGTCATGTACCCTTCTTACAAGTCACAGTACTTGCAAACTCTGATACTTGCGATTTCTCTGATACTTGCGAGCCAGTCATAGCATGTTATAGCTGAGAGAACATTGTGGCAAAAAAACGGCACGCGGTGCAAGGGAACAAACCAATGTTTGTCCTGTATATCTGTGTGTATATTCTTGATTGAGATAAAATCAAACAGCCCAATATCCACAACAATATCCCGTTGCATATGCAATCAAAAACTACACCAAGCTCTTGTCATTTTCAGGAGTATCTATAGCCGAAATTCACAGCGGGTTAGTATGTGGAATATTCCCCATTTTGCCTACGATATTTTACGATGTAATGCGCTTTACCTTCTGATCTAGCATGTGGCAATCAATCGGGAAAATCCATGATTATCCTACAATAGGTCGTTTTTCCATGGTCATGTTTGTTTACCAAAGGATAATCCTGGTAACCTGTGGTAATTCAACATGGCCTGCTTGTGCCACACGTCAATCATGGCCTGCTCACCTCAGCCGGACTGCTGGACTTGCACTGTGCATATGTGACTGCACTCACTTATACATGCATCTACATCTAATCCAAACTTGAAAAAAATATATATATATATATAGAGAGAGAGAGATAGATTCGTATGTCAAAAAATATCTATATCTATATCAATATATATATACATATATATATTCGTATGTCCATATTCCATGTGTATCTACGAACATACATACATACATACATACATTCATACATACATACATACATACATACATACATTACATACATTACATACATACATACATACATACATACATACTTAACTACTTACTTACTTACATTACATACATTACATTACATTACATTACATTACATTACATTACATTACATTACATTACATACATTACATTACATTACATTACATTAAATTACACTACATTACATTACATACATACATATATTAAATTACATTACATTACATTACATATATACATACATACATACATTACATTACATTACATTACATTGCATTACATTACATTACATTACATACATACATATATATATACATACATACATACATACATACTTACTTACTTACTTACATTACATACATACATAACATAGCATAACATTACATTGCATTACAATACATACATACATACATACATACATACATACATACATGCATGCATACATACATACACACATACATACAGACATACATACATACATACATACATTACTTACTTACTTACTTACTTACATACATACATACATACATACATTACATACATACATTACATACATTACATACATTACATACATTACATACATTACATACATTACATACAATACATACATAACATACATAACATACATAACATACATAACATACAAAACATACATACATACATACATACATAACAAAGCATAACATAACATAACATAACAAACCATAACAAACCATAACAAACCATAACATACATACATACATACATACATGCATACATACATACATACATACATACACACACATACATACATACACACATACACACATACACACATACATACATACATACATCCATTACATCCATTACATCCATTACATCCATTACATCCATTACATCCATTACATCCATTACATCTGTTACATCCATTACATCCATTACATCCATTACATCCATTACATCCATTACATCCATTACATCCATTACATCCTTTACATCCATTACATCCATTACATCCGTTACATCCATTACATCCATTACATCCATTACATCCATTACATGCATTACATACAGTACATACGTTACATACATTACATACATTGCATACGCTGCATACATTGCATGCATTGCATACATTGCATACATTGCATACATTACATACACTACATGCATTGCAAACATTGCATACATTACATTACATTACCTTACAGTACATTACATGGCATTACATTACATTACATACATCACATATATATATACAAATATATATGTATATGTATAAATAAATATATATATATATATTCATAAATACATACATACATACACATATAGTTAAATACATGACATTATGTTACGCTACGTTGCGTTACGTTACGTTACATTACATTGCAAATTAAAATATGTATATACATACAAACATATACATATACACATCATATATATATATATATACACAACATACTGTACACGTATTACATCTGAAGGTTATGTGAATAATTCATGCGTGATACTAATTATACGATTTATCTTATTTTGGACACGGGTACGATATTCGTGTATGTCACAGTCAAGATTGTTGGGAGAGGGTCGTGCCATCCCTCCACACACTTACCACGTTCCCACAGGACCTGTGGTAGTGCCACCTTCCCTCCGGGCAACCTGAACATGACATTTCTAACAGAAATCAAATATAAACCATCTTATCCATTCCGTGTGCCTATCATTATATGCAAACAAGTGGGAAAGCAACGTGAATCAAGAGGTCAACACCCAGGATGCACTTCAGGTTTGCTTCGTAGGATCGCCACAAACATGCATAATATATATATATGTATATAGATATATACATTATATTAAATATATACATGTGTGTGATAATGCTTCTGTGTCTTTTTTTATATTCAAGATTCAATCTCAATGACCTCATCAGTCTGCTGGACGCCCCTTGGCTTTGACAAACGCAGGAGATTTTGAGCTGCCGACCGCTCTCCACAAGCTCCTGCGCCAGCGACGCCCAGAGGTAAACAGTGGAACTTTTCAAATCATTCAAAGCATGATCCATGACTGACTGTATTGTTGGTATACCTAACTTTTGAATTATTGGTGATTAAATTAATTTGGTATGCCAAAAATCACCTAACACTAACCTTAGAGCCTGCATTTCAATTTTGCTGATTGTTGGCATACCTAACGGCGGGGGATGATTAGCACCTTTGTACAGTTGCACATGTACCAACTTTTCTTGGCCAGCCAGGCGCAAACGGCATTTCCAAAACCACACAAGGATAAGTTTGGTGCTACTTCGTTTTTATTTTTAGTGTTTTGTTGAGTGTCCTCCACCATTTTGGAAACGTTCCAGTGTCTAAGTCAAGCTCTTGAAGTTTTTTCGGGGCCATTTTGTATCGCCATGTCATCTCCTATTTTGCAGTTTTGCCCTTCCTTCGGACTGGTATGTATCAAGGTAGGTAACAGTAGCATTTAACATCAGGGTGCCTGGACACAGTGTTGTACTCCTGTGGCCGAGTCTAGTACTGAGGCTATGTCTGGCCCATAAAAAGAAACTTTGAAAAAATGAAGCACTGTGAATTTCAAGTTGGGTCAAGATTGAACATCTCGGTGCACAAACGACTTACTTCACTTTCCTTTGGATAATTTATTACCTTGACATGACATGAGTACACGCATGATGCCCCAACAAACGCTCCTAATTGGTATTCAGATGGTGGGTTTTTCCTCAGCTTTTTGGGAAGGTACTACGCATGTATATGTTACTATTCTAACTACTGGTATATAATATATGTATATATGCATGCAATTGTCATTCTTACAAAGACCATACATTGGGACATAGATGATTGTGAAAAGGGAACACAAAGAGCCAGTTGACGGGGAAATACCGGGAGGGTCCTCTGGTGGTGTCCAGTCTGACCTGCGGTTTGTTGGGAACCCCCACTGCATCCCGTGGTTTCTAAGATGTTCAGACCTCATGTTCCATATCAAAATATATGAAATATAGATTGAACTAGAGCACTTTGGACTCATTTGGTGATAAAATAAACAATACTGCGTACCCCCTTTTCAAACACCATATCAAAACAGGTTGAACCTCAAACAAACAAAATTCAGCTCCAGGGACTCTGTCTTCCAAGTTGCGACAGTAAAAAATCAAGATGCTATTGACTGAACAGGATTGACTGAACAGGAATAGCTGCGCACACTCCTGCAAGACACCAAGTCTGGCCTGGAAAGTTTGACGTTCCCGTACTTGATCGAAGCCCTTTCAGAGACCCTGTGGCCGTGTCATTGCATCCCCTCTGCCAATGGGTTTCAGTGGTTTGGTGGTTGACCCTCAGTGCGATCATCTCAGATAGGGATTCAAGGCCTTGTGGTTACGAGTCCGGGTGGCCAAAAGGGCCACCCATCCCAGCTGAGGCTACTGACAAGCTGGCCACCTGGTCATCCTCACGGCCAGATGTGCAGAAAGAAATGAAAGGCCACCAGTAAATCATCATGAACCATCTGGGTTATGGGCCTCCTTCAAAAACTAGGTGCGCTAACAAAGGCAGTGCTACTACATCGTGCAAATAAATGCTGCAAAGTTATTGTCCACCTCTGACCTTGTGGCTCTGATTCCAAAAACAGTGTGTCCACACTGAGGGGTTCCTACGGAGGCCGGTGCTTGATCAGGGTGCTCACTCTGGCCTGCGGCATTTTACCGGTCAATTTCCGCAAAAAGTGGCTCTTGTGAAATCTTGACATGCGTTTCGACTGCGCAGGCTCGCACAAAGTGTTCGTCCGCGTTCTGGGCTCAGTTTGGTCTGCTGCATTCTGCGGCATTTTACCTGTAAATTTGCGTATAACGTGGCTCTTGTGAAATCTTGACATGCGTTTCGAGCGCGGAGGCTCGCACAAAGTGTGTGTGTGTGTCCGCGTTCTGGGCTCAATCTGGGCCGCAGCATTTCTCTTGTAAATTTCTGTAAAAAAGGGGCTCTCGTGAAATCATCACATGAACTGTGTTTTTTTTGGTTGTCTGTGTCCGTATACTTCTGTGCTGCCTACGCCGCTGTCTACGCAATGCCTACGCGGCCACAGTCGGCTCATCCCTTTGAAGGTGTGCCTACGCAGGCCCAACGCTCGTGCAAAGCGACGCCGCAATGTAAGTTTTTGCCTACGCCGTCACACTTCCGTTTGCTTTTGGGAAGGTTGGAAACGGAACTTTTGCCTACGCGACCACAGTCCCAGGGACATTTTTACTAAGTGGAATGCCTTACGGCACCCTGCACTCCCTGTTGCAGCAGCACGAGCGCCCAGGCTCAGGTCCCAAAGCGCACACTAAACATCTGGTGGATAAATCACTGAAGACTCAGCTAGTAACTTTTGACTATGCTGGAGTCAAGCCAAGCGACGTGTTCGACTGTCGCTAGCTTGGTTAAGGGCAGTTCTGGGCGGTTCAATGTGTCGAATATGGACTGGTGCGGACGTGGGCTGGTGGTCGGTCCGGGAACCCGAGCCTACGCGGTGCCTACGCGAAGTCTACGCGAAGCCTACGCCTGTTCCAGGGGTCTCCTGGCAGGAATCTGGTGAAACATTCCTCTTAAGCAAGAGCTAATTTGGCCCATATAGCAACAAGCAGGTGGAAAGCGAAGAGCATCAAGACGGTTTCAGCTGCTCCGCTGCCTTTGTATAGCTGCTCTGAGGGGCAAGTTCCACGGTTTGTTCGTATAGACGACTATCCATGAATGAACCCGGTGCCTTTGAACCTTTTGTGGATAACATTGAATCAATTTTAAAGCGTGAGATTGCAACGCCGATCATGTACGAGCATTTGAAATACAATGAAATGCTGCCTACGCGAGCCAGAAGATATTTGGAACCTTGAAAAATGCCTACGCCAATCCTACGCAATCCTTACGCCAGCCAGGTAAAACCACACCAAAAGCAACATCCAGTTTAACCTCTATATAAACCCTTTTATATATTAAAAAAAAACGTAGCTCACATGCATTTCGACTGCGCTGGATCGCATGAAGTGTGGGCCTAGGTTCTGGGCTGATCATGATAATCCTCATCCCCACCAACATCATCATCATCACCATCATCATCACCATCACCATCACCACCACCATCATCATCATGATCATCATCCTCATCATCATTCATCACCATCACCATTACGATCACCATCAACATCATCATCATCATCATCATCCATCATCCAGCATCCATCATCCATCATCAATCATCAATCATCCATCATCATCACCCTCCTCATCATCCTCATCACTGTCTTCATCCTCATCCCTGTCCTCCTCCTCCTCCTCATCATCATCATCATCATCATCATCATCGTCACCATCATCATCACCAACATCATCAGCATCATCACCATCATCAGTAGCATCCCAACCATCACCACCATCATCATCATCATCAGCATCAGCATCATCATCATCATCATCATCATCATCATCATATCATCATCATCATCCATCATCCATCATCCAGCATCCATCATCCATCATCCATCATCCATCATCCATCATCATCACCATCATCATCGTCATCATCAGCATCACCATCATCAGTAGCATCCCAACCATCACCATCATCATCATCAGCAGCATCATCATCATCATCCTCCTCACCATCATCCTCACCATCATCATCATGGGTCATCACCATCATCATCGTCATCATCATCATCATCATCATCATTGTCATCGTCGTCATGGTCATGGTCATGGTAATGGTCCTCCTCCTTATCCTCCTCCTCCTCCTCATAATCATCATTGATCATCATGATCATCATCATGAATCATGATCATCATCATGATCATCATCATCATCACCATCATCATCATCATCATCATTATCATCATCCACATTAGCATACGTTATCCTCCCACTCCCCCACACTGTTTGGGGTCTCTTGCCGGGATATTTTTTTTGATCCATACCTATATCCTATCCCTTAAATTTGATGATGGATCATGATGGGTCATCGTTTTCCCTATGCAGTAAACAGAAAACCACAGTTTTGGCCCATACCCAGCACCCATCTCTTCACATTCCAGGCACGTCTGCAGCAAGAACCACATGTTCCCCTCCTGCCACCCCGGCCGCTTTTCAGGTCCCACCAGGAAAGCCTGGAGAGTGAAGGGCATTCAGTTCTTGATGTGAGTATGCGTAAAAAACAACTCTATAAATGAACAAAATATATTTCTTGAAATATATATAAACACAACTATAACTGAATATGTTTGTGCATCTTTACTTTTTTTTGCGGGAAAACTGTTTGCAGTACAATGTGATATCATATTAGATTCGATAGTTGAAAAATAAAGAGCATATAGTAAAACAAAACAAACACATATTATATATATATATATATCCATGATATGCAAACAGTCTAACATAATCTAATAAACGTATATATGTATATATTTCATTTTGTTTTGTATTATATACATATGCTGCATTTATATCATTTTATATCTGTGCCAATTCTAGGACAAAACGCTTAGCCTTCCAAAGGGAATCGGCTGGTGGTCAGGAAACTTCAGTATTAAAAGAAACAACGCCCCTGATGCCTTGCTTTCCAAGCTTTGAACGTTTCTCGTGCTTCTGATTTTATTGGGCTCCCTGATTGACACCCAGGATTCCAAACCTGAGAAGTGCGGAAAACGATGTCTGCCCTGGGCGAGGCCACTCCCATGGGAAACTCAGTGGAAACTCCCATGGGAAATCCAATGGATTTCTAACTGATTCAGTGAAATTTGGAGGTGGGTTGCCTTGAGAATAGGGTGCACCCCCCAAAAGCGGCAACTTTCATCGGAAAGATTGTGATTATTGCAACCCATATGTTGACAAACTATGACAAACTCACATACTGAAAGCACTTTGTGACAGCTGATAGATGGTGATGATATATTTGGTAGGTTCTCGTAGTATGTAGTGCAGTGATATCCCACTCTCAAAGCGACAATGAAAATCATAAGAACAACTACCGGCAACTTGGGGTTAACTGGGCTTACATACTTTCCAAAAGCACCTTCATAAGAAAAAAACGAGGTCTACAAGAGCCTACAAGTAGTAAGTAGTAGGGTCCCGTCGGGGTTTATGATTGTATTGACGGTCATGATGGTCTACTCATGCAGCCCGAGCTGGGAAAAACCTTTGTTGGGGGGCTCCACCAATCTCCTGAGATTCCCCAGCGTGATGTCTCTTCGACGCTTGTGCTGATATGGAGGTAGCCAAGCCTTCGAGTTACGGAATCCATCTCTGGGACGCATCATGAAGCACGTCATAAACTCACGCAGCTGTGTGTCTCAGAAGTGAGACTTTCAAAGGTCACAGAACATCAGCAGGTCAAAAGTGAAGTCATTTGAGGCGGGGTACTGGGGGAAAAACACGCGCCAAATGACCACACATTATATATTTTCCTTGGGACTTGTGAGTCTGGATGGGTTTGGACGACGGTTTCTTGGTTGGGTACCCGACACTCCGGGGGCTTGCAGCCACACTTCTCCAGGTGAACCATGGAAAATACCCCAATAACATAAGAAACGGCTTGGCAAATGAATAAGTATGACAGCAAAAAACATCACCAGTTGATTCACGTTCTTTATGGATTACCATCTGGTAAACTAACATAGCTATGGAAAACCCAACTGTTCATAGATAAATCAACTATAAATGACGATTTCCGGTAGCTATGTTAAATTACCATAAGGCAGTTCTTCATCCCCAACAAACATCAATCACACTAAGGTACAACCAGCCTGCCCCGTGAGCTTTGGTGGGAACGTTGGGTCATTGCTGATCTGCACCACCTGTGCAGTACACTCTGCACCTGCAGATCCAGGAAGATTTCAGGGGTCTTGAGAATGGGAACAACAGCTACGATATGTTACAATTTATATGGGATATCCTGGGAGAACACCACACACACACACACACCCACACGCACACGCACACACACACACACCCACACCCACACGCACACACACACAAACACACACAAGCACACGCACGCACACACGCCCGCCCGCGCCTGCGCCCCCGCCCGCACGCCCGCCCGCACGCACACAGGCACACACATATACAGTACACACACACACATAGTATTGTACGTGTGTACGTATGTACGTGTGCATACGTATGTACGTATGTACGTATGTAATGTATTGTACTGTATTGTATTGTACTGTATTGTATTGTAATGTAATGTAATGTAGTGTAATGTAATGTAATGTATGTGTGTAATGTATGCAATGTATGTGATGTATGTGATGTATGTAATGTATGTAATGTATGTAATGTATGTCATGCATGTAATGTATGTAATAAATGGTATGTAATGTATGCAATGTATGCAATGTATGTAATGTATGTACTGTATGTACTGCATGTAACGTATGTGAATGTAATGTAAATGCAAATGTAAATACCAGTAGTACCGCACAAGGCGGTGGCGGAAGTTTCAAAAATAGGAAACCTATAGGAGAGCTTGGTTGTTGTGAATCAGGGATGGCAGAGCGAAGCCACTGATGGACCGAAAGGTGCTTGAGGTCTCCTCTCTTTTTCTCTCTTTCTCTGACTATCTACTTACCTACCAGCCTATCTTCTATGTATCTATCTATCTGTTGATCTAGCTATCTATCTCTCTCTTTCTCTCTTTCATCTCCTTACCTATCTATCTATCTATCTTTCTATCTATCTATCTATCTATTTATCTATCTATCTTTCTATCTATCTATTTATCTATCTGTCCGTCTATCGATCTATCTATTTATCTATCGATCTGTCTGTCCGTCTATCTATCTATCTATCTATCTATCTGTCTATCTATCTATCGATCTATCTAAAGATCTATCGACCTATCTATCTATCTCTCTCTCTCTATCTATCTCTCCGTCTATCTATCTATCTATCTATCTATCTATCTATCTATCTATCTATCTCTCTATGTATCGATCTATTGTTGTTGTAGTTGTAGTTGTAGTTGTTGTGGTGGTTGTTGTTGTTGCTGTTGTCGTTGTTGCTGTTGCTGTTGTCGTCGAGGTTAGGGTAGTTAAGTTAGTGAAGTTAGTTAAGTTAGTCAAGTTAGTTAAGTTAATCAGTGTCTACTTTTTCGACATCTTCACGTCAAAAAAGGCTCAAAACCCTCAGTTTTTTACACTTTTGACTTCGAAATGTGCTTCGTGCCACAACGGCGTGCACTTTTTTGACACTTTTTCGACATCTGAACCTCCAAAAGTGGTCCGAGACCGTCAGTTTTTAACACTTTTGACTTGGAAATGTGCTTCGCGCCACAACGGCGTGCACTTTTTCGACATCACAACTTCCAAAAGTGGTCCGGAGCTGAGGTGTTTTGTACATTTTGACTTGGAAATGTGCTTCGCGCCACAACGGCGTGCACTTTTTCGACATCGTGAAGGTTTGTACATTTTTTCTAAACTTCGCTTCGACATGCAACAAAAGTGGTCCGAGAAGTTGGAATGTAAATGTACATGCAATGTATTTGTATGTAATGTAATTGTATCGTCGGAATGTACTTTTCGTAATTTGTAATGTAATGTAATGTAATGTAAATGTAATGTATGTAATTGTATGTAATGTATGTAATGTAAATGTAAATGTAAATGCAAATGCCAATGTAAGTGTAAGTGTAAATGTAATGTAATGTATGTATGTATGTCTGTGTGTATATCCACACACGCATGTATAATATGTATATATATATATATACATTGGGATAGAAGAGTTGGAATCCTGGAAAATATGGTAAACTATGGACGAAACATTATCGGCCTAGCATCCTGGAAACACTTTTCAGCATCCTTTTTAGGGCTTATAAACCGACGTATAATGACCAATGCCTTTTCATTCATAAACACACCCTAGAAACCATAGTGATGCAGGGAATGAAATCGCATTTGGGACCATTTCAAAGGTGTTTAATATTAAGGCAATGGAATCCATCATTAGACAATCCAATTGGAATAATTCAGATGTACCCCTCTTGGGGGGATTCTTCTGATGAGGCTGTAAATTTGGCACCGACATCAGGTGAAACTCATCCCCTGGTGTCAGGTGACCAGGCTGAAATCCCCAAGGTGCTGGCTAAATTATGGCGTCCTTGATCTTGACCACCCCTGAATGCAACCAAGACAACTACCTACACTACACAGTGATCTTTGGGATAGATATGGATAGATGTTTTATTCCATGGAGCATGCACCATTTCTCGCGGGAAAACCCCATCCGGCTGTGGCCTATGGACTCGGATGGAGTCCACAACATGGTGATCTTGGCGACGGGTCAGGTAGTCATGCAGTCAAAGTTGCAGTGGGAAAGGGTTTAACAAGGTTTGACATATTTGCAGAAATCGATGTTCTTCTCAAGTGTTTTTACATAAATGTCACTTACAGCAGGTCCCACCAATAAAAATGGAAATTTGACTGACTTACCACCAACAGGTTGGGGTTGAACCGTTGAACCACCCAAACATTGGGATTCTGGAAATTTAACCAACCTAACTAGAACGGGGTTTCAGCCAAGAATCACCGATGATGGTTGAGGTTCACCCCCCCCAACCAATGGATGTGAATAAGAGGCCTTTCAATCCAGCCCGCCAAATCCGCAAACAATGAATTCCTGAGCCCCCATGTGCATGATTTTAGGTGCACAAGAATATACAATCATGATGCGTAAATTAAATCGCGGAAGGATAGGGCAGTGATATATCATTATTTTGGTAGGATCCAACTTTTTGACTTTTTTGAGTTACAATATAAATGCAATATTACATATATTGATTTATATTACATACGTACATTGATCGAAGGAAGTTAGAAGTCAAACTTCCGACAATATGGACAAATGAAAAGCACAGGTGGGAAGAGTCAGAGAAGAGAAGAGAAGAAAGATCAAAAGAGAGAAAGTCTCAGAAGAAAGCAGATCCAGGTGCGCGAAAAGGTAGGAAAGTCGCGAAAAACTGTATTTTCCCACTGATTTGTTCCTCCGGAGGGTCGAAAAGTAGGCTCGCTAAAGCGGCGGGTGCGGAGGTCTCTGGGCAGATGATAGATGAAAAATTGCACGCCGTTGTGGCGCGAAGCACATTTCGAAGTCAAAATGCACAAAACACACCAGCTCCGGACCACTTTTGGAAGTTGCGATGTCGAAGAAGTGCACGCCGTTGTGGCACGAAGCACATTTCGAAGTCAAAATGCACAAAACACACCAGCTCCGGACCACTTTTGGAAGTTGCTATGTCGAAAAAGTGCACGCCGTTGTGGCGCGAAGCACATTTCGAAGTCAAAAGTGCAAAAAACTGACGGGTACGGAGCACTTTTGGACGTTCAGATGTCGTTTCGCGTGGCAGGCGCACGGGATTGTGCACCTTGTCAAAAGTGGCAAGCGCAGTATTTAAGACAGGTGGAGTCGAAAAAATCGCAAAACTTATTGGTACGAGGCCGTCAGCTCTGCACTCAACTTTCCATGTTTGAAGGAAGTCTCGCAGAATTGCTTCGTTTTTGATGTTGCCAACCTCAAAAAATGAGGCAATCTCGCAGACTTGCTTCGTTTTTGATGTTGTCAAGTGCAAAAATTGAGGAAGTCTCGCTGAATTGCTGCGTGTTTGATGTTGTCAAGTTCAACAACTCAGGAAGTCTCGCAGAATAGCTTCGTTTTCAAGCTTGCAGATAGATAGATAGACAGACAGACAGACAGATAAGACAGATAAGACAGATAAGACAGATAGATAGATAGATAGATAGATAGACCGATAGATAGATAGATAGATAGTTAGATAGATAGGTAGATAGATAGGTAGATAGATAAGACAGACAGACAGACAGACAGTACAGTACAGTACAGTACGGTATAGTATAGTATAGTATTGTATTAGATAGTATAGTATTAGATAGAAAGATAGATAGATAGATGGATGGATAGATAGATAGATAGGTAGGTAGGTAGGTAGATAGGGTTGATAGATAGTCAGAGAAAGAGAGAGAAAGAGAGAGAAAGAGAGAGAAAGAGAGAGAAAGAGAGAGAAAGAGAGAGAGAGAGAGAGAGAGAGAAAGAGAGAGAAAAAGAGAGAAAGAGAGGAGACCTCAACCACCTTTCGGTCCATCAGCGGCTTTGCTCTGCCATCCGTGATTCACAACAACCAACCTCTCCTATAGGTTTCCTATTTTTGAGACTTCCGCCACCGCCTTGTGCGGTAGTACTGGTATCTGTTGTACAATCTCTTTATAAATAGCAACCTTTGTCACTACCACATCCATTCGTACTTGGCTGTCACACGGTGTTGAAGGAGCAGCGCACTCCGATGGGTTTTCCCGGGGCCTCGAAGGGTTGGGGGTCAACTTGTGGCTGGCCGACTTTTGAGCACCGCATGGGTATGAAATACATGGCATGCCTGAATCCACATGAGGACAGGAACAGAAATTTGAAAAACAATATATAAGTAAAATAAAAAACATATCAATAATAATAAAAATAATTTGATATATAAATATAATTATATATAATATATGAAATATGGAGAGTGAAGCGGAGGGCGAAAAATGTCTCAATCCCACTGGTTGCAACTGATGACAGCGCCCGTCCAGGGTCCCTGGCCAATGGCAGTGCGGGGTCCAGGGTCTTTGCAGGTTTCGAAGGTTCACTGTACCTGGTTTCAATGAGATCACCCAAACAAGAACAATTGAAGATGTTCAATACCTAAACATGATAAGACAATATAAGACACGATATCAAAGTTCTTAAAACCCAATCTGTACCAAACAGGTTGAGCAAAACATATCATTTTTTTGTGCATGAGGAGCAACAATCTCAACGATTCTGACTGGAGATTCGCCAAAGCAGTCCCAAACCATGCTTGGAATCATGTTCTAGAAGTGATTTAAACTTCCTGCTGATCTTAAATTCAAATCAAGAAAGTCATGCTTGCTAGGATTTCGTATATTCGTCTATCATAGTCTATCAAAATGCCTGGAACATGGTCACGAAAAGTTACCTTTCACCAAAGATACCAAGATTTGCCCACATTTTGATGCTAAAATCAGGTAGATGTTCAATCTGCCAAATCAAGTTCAAGTCGATCAAATCTCCATTTTTGGGTGTATGTAGACCGAAGTTGAGGATTTTCTCTGCAGATTGACACCCAGATGCCGCACAGCGCTGCCGCGCACTGGCCGAGACCCATCTTGTTCTCAGCAGCTAACTGGGCGGGGGGCAGATCATCCCACGATGGGACATTTGGCAAACCATCCGATCCGTGTGCGCCGCGTGCGCACCTGAAATTGATAGGTTCTCCGTGCTTGCAGACCATCCTTGGACCGGGATAAGAGAGAAAACTGACTGAAAACCGCCTGCTTTGGGGAGAAAGGATTGGATGGGGCTATGAAGAACGTTCAAAATGCCTCAATGCAAAGTCTAGGCTTACAGTGTCTTACAAACACAGCAAGGGCTGTCAGGAGTCAACGGATGGATTTCATGTCTGCAGCGATCCCAGAGAAACACCAAACCAACACAAACACGAAAGCAAACAAATATACCTCAACTCACGATCGTTCCAACCTGGTTTTCTAACTACGCATGCTACAAGAGACATGCACTACATCACATGGCGTTGAAAGTATATAGATGGCCTCGCCCATGCAGCGTCCCAAATGCGCCCCTAAGACCAACCAGAAAATGAATGCCATCTACTCCCAAATCAGAGTAACACAAAAAAACATTAGGAAAAACATATTTTACTTTGCGTGATCCCCACCACGACATTTATCGATTTGTTACTAGCAAATCTTCTGGCATTCTATCTGACATATCTTCTGGCATTCGATCTGGCATTCTATCTGGCATATCTTCTGGCACTCTATCTGGCATATCTTATGGCATTCTATCTGGCAAATCTTCTGGCATGCTATCTGGCATATCTTCTGGCATATCTTCTGACATCCTATCTGGCATTCTATTTGGCAAATCTTCTGGCATTCTATCTGACATTCTATCTGGCGTTCTATCTGGCATATCTTCTGGCATTATATCTGGCCGTTGAGGTCCAGCGGTGCCCACTGAGCTCGGAAGGTCCCAGGTTGAGGTCCATCGGTGCACACTGAGCTCTGAAGGTCCCAGGTTGAGGTCCAGCGGTGCCCACTGGGCTCGGAAGCCGGCAGTTGAGGTCCAGGGGTGCCCACTGCACTCGAAACCTGGCGGTTGAGGTCCAGCGGTGCCCACTGCGCTCAGAACCTGGCGGTTGAGGTCCAGCCGTGCCCACTCAGATCGGAAGCTGGCAGTTGAGGTCCAGCAGTGCCCGCTGCGCGCGGAAGTTGGCGAAGAGATTGGCGACGAGTTGGCAAGGCGGAAGTGGACGTGGAAGTTGATGCAGACATGGTCGAGGAGAAACTGCTGGAGGAGGAAGAGGAGGAGGCGGAGGAGGAGGAGGAGGAGAAGGCGGAGCAGGAGGAGGAGGATGAGGAGAACAGCTCTGATAAAATCGAACAACCCTCACCTGGCAGGTGGGGAATGACAAAAAACAAATTCTGAGCTCTCCCCACCACCAAGATGAAGCGCCGCTTACCTTTGACCATCATTTCCCCACAGTCCTCAGGCCAGTGGACATCCGAAAGGTCGAAGGGTTTATGTTTTGGGCGAATCTTAAGCACCAACAACCACGTTTATAAGATTTTATAAGGGTGAATATTCAATATCTAAGTATTTGGGAGGGGGGGTCAGTTTTGAAGGCTCAGGAGCAAATAGGCTCGATTCGATCCATGAACTGTTCCTGTGAAAATCCGGTGCTCGAAAGAGTCAGCAAACCGTTTTCAAATAGTGGGCCAGCAAGAGTTTGTTAACTTCGGTATGTGATATCAGTATATTTTAGATAGAATCATATCACATAAGATATATATATATATATATACAATTATATATATACCATGCAATTTACTATACATATACGTATGTTTATATCCACAATATATCCACATTGTGATGTATATATATATATATACACATAAATGTATCCCTACTGATGTCCATGGTCACCAATCAGACCTGGCAACCGCATCTCTTGAGCATCTTGAGCAAGACCATGCCCAAAGATCTGGATACATCTAGATATTACATGGGATATTATTGGGTCAGGATGACAATGATCATTTTCCTTGCTAATGTCGGGTCAGGATGACAAACAACCGCATGGTGGCAACCTGAATTAGGGCACCCTAAAAGGATTGGAACATGATATGTGCGTTTTCTCTCGCCATTTTGATGGCAACCTACTGTAACATTTCAACACTTCAACGAAACATGCACGGTGACCCGGTGTATCATTAAAATTATAGAGTATAAATGATCTAGATCTATATAGGCATGTATGTGTATATATGTACACATTTACTACCTCATATACATATATGATATTAAATATATATATATAATATATATATATATAATATCATTATATATACTCAATATAGAATTAATCTACATATCGACAACAAAGAGTCCCCAAAGCCGTGTTTATTACCTGGAGAATCTGACTCATGGTTCCAAATGAGGATGGCTCTTCTCAATTGAGCTACCCAATTGACACTTCAGATAGAAGTTTCGCAAATTTCGGGGGTACAGTAGGGGGCAAACCCTCAATAGACATGTTTTGTTCCTAATAGGTGAACTTAAGAAGCTGCCATGTCAAATTCATTCATTATCCGCAAGCGACATCTTTCTTGGGGCAACTTGGCTCTGTATCTGCCATTTCTTTGTGAGTATGATAGTATGTATGATAATCTTGATATATATATATATCTTGATTAATGTTGATATAATATGAGTATGTGAGTCAAAACGTCAACACCCCAAAATCCCAAACAAATGAATAGAACTAGTCTTTGGTTTGGATGTTTACCTAGCCATTTTGGGGGTACAAGTTTGGACGCACAACCCAGAAGCTGTTGAGGCCCCGACTCGGATAGATTCCGGTCTACCTGCTGCATCCTTGGCTACATGTGTTTCAGGAGCAATTCCTCCAAACGAACGTGGTCTTAACATGTCTTAACAAATATATATATATATATACCCTCTGGTAAACCAACATAACTATGGAAAATCACCATTTTCAATGGGTAAAACCACTATAAATGGTCATTTTGCAGTCACGAAAACCTACAAATTGCATAGTTCCCTGTCACAAAGGTTCATCCAGGATCATTTCAGTTGGCACAGGGAATGGCCAATGTGTGCAGTTTATGTATGCCTGCAGGTCACTTGTTGAAAGTGCCAAGACAAATACCTTGGCAACGTGTGATGGGACCCTGCCAATCAATCCAACTATTGACCATGCGCAACGTTTCAAATGTCCAGCAAGTTGCAATGGATTAAAACATGTTGAACTGATTCACTTGTACAAATTCAGGGTACATCATAATACTTGATAATAATTCTTACATATTCATAGTACCTGGAAAGCATGGTGTACCATTTTTTTAATCACTGCGTCACTGTGCACAATTTTGGGTGTCACGGTTTGGCGTACGATTCGTACGGCAAATTTACGCAACTTTTACGGATATGTACGCCACTTTGCGTTTTGTGCGATGGCTAACCTCCGACAAAGTTACGTTTTTCGTCCGAAAATTGCACAGTGACAAAAAAAGAGCTCAAAGAGGATCATACAAATAGGCAACTGACGCATTCCAGGTAATTCGTTCACTTGGATGAGGAATTGCGATCATTCGGATCCGAGGGGCGGTTTCCCACCAGCGGAGCCAGAAGTTCGTGAGCTCGGACCCGCCGTTGTGCGGATGCATCCTGGACGTGGAGCAGGTCATTTGGAGGTCTGCGACCTGTACTTAAGATACTTAAGATTACTTGAGGGGAACACAACCAAGTAGATTAGAAGAAGTGATTTATGAATATTTTAGTACTAGTGGGATGTTATTTTTCTATAACTTCTCGAGGGTGCAGGCCAGAGGCGACTTGTGGGTAGAACCATGGGAATTTAAACTCCACAAATTGGGATAATTATCCCCTATCACTATGTATGGATATATAATATCCACCTCAGACATGAACTGCACTTCCACCATTTTAGCAAATGATCTTTGCTGGGGGGAAGCCTAATTTTGTTGGAATCAATCAGGTTTTATATGGTTTTATTATGTTTTATTCATGTTGATTCATCCAGGGTTGACATGATAATTTATTAAGTGGTTATTGAATGTTTTTTGACGCATTCAAGGATCCCATGTTTTGGATGATGGATGGTGATCCAGTTTGGATCCATACCCGCATATGACCCTGGTGTTGGCACCTGCCTGCCGGGAGTTTATATGGCCATTGTATGCCATTGTAACACTCAATACCTGAGCAAGTAACTGGTGGAAGTCAGCCTGGTTGCCCCATGTTGCACCCTCAAAAGTGGGCAAATTATGGCAAAATGATGGAAAAACAGCCATCAGGTCATCAGGGTGACCGAAAACACACATCGGTGGCCATCCCAGGCCATCGGTCCAGCTCAAACGAAGGCTGGTGATGTTGGTGTGAGTGACATGGGGTGGTGCCTGAGGCGATTTCGTAGAGTCACCCTCAAGGCCCTATGGTGTGTCCAAAACGATGTCAAGGGATGTTCCGATATCAAATCCTCATTACACATGTTGTATCCCTGGGTCAATTCAATTTATCTACTTTTCATTACTTTTCATGCAGTATCAGGGCAAAATGAAGAAGTGATGCTCTGTTTGGTGAATCAGTTCTATCAAGCCTTGCAGCAAGAGCCTTCTTTTTTTCACGCGACTCGGGAATGTAGCCACAGCCGCATCCATCATCTGGATACGGGAAGGCCACGACTGATCCTGTTGACTGGTGACGTGACTGCTTGCGCGTGATTGAATATCGAAACTGCAGGTTGATCATCCCAGGCAGCAATGATCAAATGATCAAGAAATGTAAATAATCACTTCCTCCTATTACTAAGCGTCCCCCAAATACTAAAAACAGGAGTCCATCTCCAATTTCGGAAAATTTCAGATTGGCCAATTTGACTTTTAATTGATCCCCTTTAGAAAACAATTTAAAAATAAAGCTACCATTTGTGGGTTTTGCCCCCTAATACTAAAAACTAGATAACCCCGGGGTGTTTATTATTAGGGTCCGTCCGAAAATTTTGATTTTTTTGATTATAGGGCTTTTAATTTATTATTAGGGCCCGCTTCGAAATCCGATTTTTGGCAATATTTTAATTGCGTTATATAAGCAAACTTAATTGATTTTGAAATCGAACAACCTGTGTTATTATTAAGGTGTTGAATTCATAGGGTCCGCTTCGAAATCCAATTCTCGGCAATTTTTTAATTGCGTTATATAAGGATATAATTGCTTTTGAAATCTTGACAAACCAAGTTTTAATTTTATTAATAGGGTCCTCTTCGAAATCCAATTTTTGGCATTTTTTAATTGCGTTATATAAGGAAATTTAATTGATTTTGAAATCGAACAACCTAGTTTTTATTATTAAGGTTTCAAATTTATTAGTAGGGTCCGCTTCCAAATCCAATTTTTGGCAATATTTTAATTGCGTTATATAAGGAAATTGAATTGATTTTGAAATCGAACAACCTAGTTTTTATTATTAAGGTTTTAAATTTATTAATAGGGTCCGCTTCCAAATCCAATTTTTGGCATTTTTTCATTGCGTTATATAAGGAAATTTAATTGATTTTGAAATCGAACAACCTAGTTTTTATTATTATTAGGTTTTAAATTTATCAATAGGGTCCGCTTCGAAATCCAATTTTTGGCAATATTTTAATTGCGTTCTATAAGGAAATTGAATTGATTTTGAAATCGAACAAACTACAGTAGTATTTATTATTAAGGATTTAATTTTATTAATAGGGTCCGCTTCGAAATCCAATTTTTGGCAATATTTCAATTGGGTTATATAAGGAAATTGAATTGATTTTGAAATCGAACAAACTAGTTTTTATTATTAAGGATTTAAATTTATTAATGTGGTTCCCTAATAATAAATACCACCCTAATAATAAAACCTACCTGAGGTGTTTATTAATAGGGGTGTTGGTTAGTATTAGGAGGAAGGGATTAATGAAATCACTACGGCACTAAGGCTTTCAGCTGTACCACAAGGCCAATTCATGCCGCCAGATTTTGGCTTTACTTCTCACAGCTCCTAGATCTCCAGGCCTCCGCAGATTTGCATTGCAGACAGTTGATAGGCTTCTGGTGAGATCGGACATGAAATCGCTATAATGAATGGTCCAAACACTTTTTCCCGCAGAATTAGCATTTTTTTTGGCCTCATGATGTCTCAGGGCTTCCGCTGACGGACGAAGCTTGAGAATCAAAAACCCCTGGTTTCCTTCAAAGCATTGCCGGAGATTCAAGCGGGGGCTGTAAAGATGTACTTGGTATGGACCTAAATGAAGTTGTCCTATAAAATCCCAGATATCAACATATACCAACTATGGGAATACTATAGGACTATATACATATCACATGATATCACTATCTACATTTGAACATGAAGTAGGAGTAGGAGTATCGGCTTCCGATTCCGGCCATTCATGCAACCCGAGCTGCAACCTGAGCATCTCAGAGTTATGGAGTCATGTAATTCTATGACCATCCACCCGGGCCCTAGGCATCCTGGGCCCTGACATAAGACTTCCTGACCTGGCCTGGTAAGCAGGGTGGGATCCCGCCCCCCTTAAGCATCCTAGTGGCGTCAAATCCAGCGCGCAATCAAGTTCCGCCAGAGATTTCTGATGTCGTTACAAAAGGTTCCGCGGCAGCGGCCTGACTTTGACCATCTCTGCCGCCGAACTCCGCAAGTTTGGAATGGATCCAGCAGCTGTTTCCGAAATTTGGGAAGAGCTGGAGTTGGTGCAAGAGAGTAGGGTCAATTTTGCGGAGTGTCTCACTTCACAATTCAAGAACCAATTTTTTAGTCTAACAGTCTAACAGTCTAACAATGTCTGGCCGAATTTGAGCAGTTCACTCAGCTTCACGAAGTCGGCATAAGATGAATAAGGCTCTGTTGAAATTAAATTCTATGACATTCATGATTTGACAATCTTTGACCAACATGCAGAAAACTGCGACAATTGCCTGGAGGATGGGTTGTCGAAGCCCCCCGCGGCCGAAAAGCCTGTGGAAAAATACGCTGAATCTTTCCGTTGTTTTTTTGGGCAACAAACAGCCAAAATGCTGGTTTGGGAAACCATTCTGGGGTTTTCTTGGGTACCTCAACTCCAGTATCAAACAAAGACGTCTTCACCCAGTTTTCTGCATCCTTTCAACCCTTCATTGTGCTTCAGCTGCCATCCACCCGTGCTTCAAAGCGGAACTTCAAAAAGTACCATGGGTGATCGGCCACAACTGCGGCAATGTGCTCAGTGCTCCAACAATCCCAGGGCGGTTTTGAGAGGAATCTTCAGCTCTCTGCCAGATAGTTTCACAGATTTCATAACCAGGTTTCTGCTAAGATTGGCCCCAGAGAATGAATCTTCCTAGCCAGAAGAAAGTGGAATTTTTCTTGGGCCCCTGGTTAAGCTGGCATCGTTTCTGCTTTTGGCCCCCAAAAAGGTCGGGTCAGAAGTCCATCTTCCATGCTGTTTCCTCAGATTTGGCAACAAAAATCTTTGGACAGTGGTCTTATGTTCAACCCCCAACCACATATCGTCAATGGGAATCATTATCTTTGTACATAGTATATGTATAGTAATTATATGTAGAGTATAGGTATAGTATATGTAATGTATATGTATAGTATATGCAAAGTATATGTATAGTATATGTATAGTATATGTATGGTACATGTATAGTATACGTATCGTATATGTAAAGATATGTAGACTTAGAGTGTATGTGCCGTATATTATGTTCAGGTATTGAACATCAGAATTCTTGAAATCGCCACTGGGTCTGTCAAAAACATCGTCGGATAGCAGCGATGGGAATGACCTTTACTCACGGGCAGTTGTTTGGAGCGCTTCTGTGGAATCATGCCGGACCCTGTTGATCCCGGCTGCAGTAAAGGCAACACATTAAAAACAATTACTGACAGCCAATATGACTTAGCTTCGTTATTCTGCATGGTTTTATTGGGCAAAGCGTGCCTCGCAATCAAAACGCTCAAACCTGCACTGCTGCACAATTCTTTGTGGTTTTGCTGTCAAAAATGCCTCTTTCATATGCACAATGCAGGATTCGAATTCAGGGTTTCAAACAAGGTGTTTAGACGGTCGGTGCCGGTGCCATAACAAGTCATGACTCATGACTGGTATGACTGGTAGTGATGAAAAAAAAACATATTCATCACCAACATCCAACAAGGAGCATCTAGACATGTCTATATATACATTCTTAGGGGGTCACCTTTGGGGGAGCTTGGTTGAATCATGTTAAATCCCATGAGCAAAATTAAGACCAGCTATGACCCTTGCACCTTTTGCTGACACGTCCACTTTTGCGGCATGCAGCACCACGCCCGAGCATAGCAGCGCACACCGGTTGCAACCAAAAACGGGGCTGCTTACTTGTATTCCAGTGCGATGTTTATCTTTCCAAGAAACAAGGAACATCCTCTCTAGATTCCCCAAAGAACCGATTGCTCAATTGAAATATATATATATATGTATATTAAAGAAAAACAACAAATAACATCAAAAAACATTATCCTGATCGAATTTAAGAAGCTCTGCTGAAATGACATCTTCGGGGTTCAGCCACCATCATAGTTCACCCAATGCCGAGACCAGGGAAACTTCTGGACCCGTAAAAAGTGGCAACCCCAGATCTTGGATGCCCTCCATGTTTTTAACTGGTCATTACATCCGATGTATGGCAAAATAACATAATCATAGTATTAAACATTATCAAACTGTATTTCACTAGCCATTCGCTATCCCATTCCATCGCAGTTGGGATATCAGCGTTGTTCCCTTGATTCAGGGAGCAAGCCTCGCAGCAGGAACCCCGCAGCCAGTTGGCATCACAGCATCAACTTGGCGCGAGAGGGTTCCAACGCCATCTAAATTCAGTCTCTTGAAAGAAGGGTCGAACATGCACCCCACTTTGAAATACGGCACAATGAATCACAATGACATGTTTCATATTCATCCAGGAATCCAATGTTGAAATGTTGGTCATGGTGCACTGCCGCACTGATGACAATGATGTATAGCCATATATGATTAATCAACAACTGCGTCCATATCATCGGCAGCAAAAACTCATGTTGGATCTGGTATTATTACATGTGAGTGCTTGCGCATTTGATCCCATCCCCATGTGGACTCCAAAAACAAATAGGGCCAGTACTAAACCAGGGTTTTCTGGGTGGAATTGTGTATTTAGGAGAAAGGGATAAGATGCAACGTTGCAACACTGTGCTAGCCTCCGCCATGGAACGCTGGTCCCTTATGGCCTTGCATATGTGTATGTCGTACATCAGTCCGTCCATGTTTATTCATTTGACTTACATTATTTCATCAATGCGTTCGTTGGTTTCAACTTGTAAAATAAATAATCAAACGCGTAAACAAATAAACAAATAAATAAAAAATAAAAAAATCAAACTAATTTTAAAAAACCAATTACTTTACTTCGAGTGATCCACACCATGACATTTATCGATTTGTTACTGGCAAATCTTCTGGCATTCTATCTGACATATGGCATTCGATCCGGCATTCTATCTGGCATATCTTCTGGCATATATTCTGGTATATCTTCTGGCATGTCTTCTGGCATTCTATCTGGCATATCTTCTGGCAGATGTTCTGGCATATCTTTTGGCATTCTATCTGGCATATCTTCTGGCATATTATCTGGCAAATCTTCTGGGATTCTATCTGGCATATCTTGTGGCAGTCTATCTGATATTTTATCTGGCATTCTATTTGGCATACCTTCTCGCATTCTATCTGGCATATCTTCTGGCATTTTATCTGGTATATCTTCTGGCATTCTATCTGGCATATCTTCTGGCATTCTATTGGGCATATCTCATGGAATTTTATCTGGCATATCTTCTGGCATTCCATCTGACATTCTATCTGGCATATCTTCTGGCATTCTATCTGCCCGTTGAGGTCCAGCAGTGCACACTGAGCTGGGGAGGTCCCCGGTTGAGGTCCAGCGGTGCACACTGA